ACACACACACACACACACACACACACACACACACACACACACACACACACACACTTTTAATTACATTACGCTTTAATTACTTGTTTAATGAAATGTATGGGGTTGATTGTTCTTATGTAGTTTTGATGCTTTGGCAATATTGTTGTTACAGATTCATGCCAATAAAGCTAAATTTGAATTTGAATTTGAATTTGTGAGTGGCCGGGTCAGGTGACCAGCACTGGACAGAGAGTCTGAGTGCATCTAGTGGATAGCTCAAGGACGGCAGGTCTACATGCAGGAGTACATGGCCTGGGAGAAGTGAGCAGGGGCTAGAGAAAGGCCAGGCATAACAAACAAAAAACTAGACAGTCCTCATGACAAATTGGCCTGCTGTATCTTCAAATGTTTGGCTCAAATGGATGATCACATAGAGCCAGGAAGGTTAAGTAGATTTTATAGCCTGCAGACAGATCAGATAAGATAATAAATAGTGGTAATTTTATTTAGAGATACTGATTTAATAACTACAGAGATTATATTGTAAAGACTTATTTTCTCTCTCCAAAAATTGAATAATGAAGGTCATGAAATAATAGCCCTAAAAAATGTAAAGTCAAATATTTAAAGTCAAAATTTTATACACTATGCCTTTTTTGCTATTTTTGTGCTGTTCACATTAATTTGTTCAGCATTTTTAAACATGCTATATAAAATTATTGATGTGAAACTAACTGTATTTATAGTGATAACGTCAGTGTTCCAATACTGGTTTGTTTCTTGGTGTTTAAGAACCTCAAGTACCAGACATTTTGAGATTCATCTAATTCAAAACACATGGGAAAATGAAGCTACACATTACAAAAACTGCAGTTCCTATATTGTTATCATTTCAGATTTTTAAAAACATTCATAAAAATAATTTCTCAAATATACACGGAAATTATCCTTAAAGTTGGAAAGGGTGTTGATCTCTGAGATTTCATCACTACAGTAGCTGGAGAAAGTAACAAGCCTATAGTGCCACACAGCTTGTGGGTAGGTGGAGGGAGGTTTATACAAGACTTCAAGCCTTCCACAAATATTTTAGAAAAATAGGATGCCTTTAACTGGACTGGAGTGGCCTAAGACTCTTGTGTTTGAAAAAACATTTAGGTAAAGTTAGATTATTTTATCATGTTTTCTTGTTTAAAACATGAAGACCAGAGCAATTGCAGTTTGATCATACTCATCCTCTAGTATCTTTCTAATGTCTGAACCACAGTTCATTCTATAAATTTAACAGCAGTTCAAACCGTACTTTAGGAGAAATCTTTGCACCATTCAAATCCGCTGTTAAGATGAAATGATCACGCATTTTCAGGGACTTCTCTGGATGTGGCTTTCTGATTACTTTGTATCCATAAGATAATTGCATCTTGTCCATTGCCTGTAGAAAAAAACATAAAAACATGGTTACAGTAGCTTTCATTGTTTTCTGTTTTGTGTATTTATAATGTATTTATGGTCCCATTCTGTATCTTATTCTGATTGGTATTGGTAAACGTAAGATATTCAGTAACCTCTTGTAGACCAGGATCACGTGGGATCAGATAAACATGCAGTGTCAGGAATGCTGTGTTGGTCTGATATATTAACACCTTACAGTTTATTTTCACTGGAATGCCAACTTTCATCAAGACTGCTCTTGGTGAAAAAACTGGTTCAGACAGCTTGACATGGGATGACGTGACCTCAGACACTTTTTCCACAACATCTCCACAGTCATCTATGTGTAGGACTGCAAACTTGTCAGATATTTTAGGGACATCATCTGCACAAAATACAAGAACACACAATTAGTCAGGAGGAAGGAATTGTGTCAGTTTTTTGTGCACTTTACAAAGAATTTTGTACATTTCTTCATGTCCACTTACCAATGCAGATCCAGTGTGGCAGGTACACATCATCAAACCTTCCAGCAATGACTGTGATGTCCATTAGGGGACCTGCAGGTATGTATTTGATGTTTTCCATCCTCTCCATTGGTTCCTCCCAAGAGCAAAACTGGTACCTAAAGCTGACCTTTTCCTTACAGGCCCAGCGCAAGCCAGAGACACTGCATTCAAAGTGGTTTCCTGCTTCAGACTGTAGGCTAAGAAGTGAAGAACAAAACTAGTGAGTTTGTATTAATTATTGTATTAAGGGTGCATCAAGAAAAATGTACTGTACATTTTGGGAGTATGTGTCTTGTGTTTATTTGGTGCAACATGTATTGCCACCATAATTGTCAGATTGCATTGGTATAAATAGGGATTGCACAGAGAAAGATTTAGGTTGTCCTTCTGTAAAGAAAAAAAATCCCTAGAAAAGAGCGTAACTGTCCTCTAGTTGCAGGTTGCTGTGACGCAGTATTTCGGATGTTATTTTGGTTATTTTTACCTGTAAGTTGGAGCCTCTTCTGCACCTTTACTGTTCACTTCAGGTATTAGTTTAGTCCAGTCACTGGAGTCCTGCTGCAGAGGACAATCATTTTAAATAAATAAGTTTCTTTCAGCAACATCACAAATGAACAAATAAATGACAAATACACTGAATAAATTAATGAATTACCATAATGGTTCCACAAGCCTCAAGCTCCAAACTCCTTGAAGGCCCTTGTAAAAACACATTGGATTAAAAACAATATGATGTTATGTTGACATAAAATCATATTGTAACTTTCCATATGTTTTGCTCGTATACCACTATGGGTTACTTAGCTCTGCTCTAATATGAGAGCAATATTTAACAGTAGGTAGTGTTTTAACATTATAATATATGACAGTAAGTCTAAACAGTCTGTCGCAGCCGTTAAAATAAATTGTTTAGTTAGGCCAAATATTATGAGCATTGTTATTCAGGTTATGTGTAATATGAATATTTTTATTATAACTTTAGGTTACATTTGTTTCATATAGTATACAGACTGGTCATGTACTGCCCCACCTTTTACTTTTAGGCGCAGGTAATATTGTGAGTTTTCAGTAAATGTTAGGGACTGGAGCGTTTTGATATACAGTCTTTTCACCACTATCGGAGCACTTTTTATGGCATAAATGGGATTTATTATAATAAAAAATAAAACTATTATTATTATGATAATAACAATAATCTGGTTAGAACAAATGTGAACACAACACGCACTGTGTATTGGCAAGAATATGGCAATGCGATTCATATCACGATACAGGGGTTACAATTCAATATATCGCAATACTGTAAGCAAGGCAATATATTGAGATTTAAAAAATATATATATAACTTTAGGTTTGTTTTTCGTAAAAGAATTTCTGGTTTACGTTGTTTAACCTGTCAATTTTTTTCTGGATTAATCTATTTGTTGTTTGGTCTATAAATTGTCAGTGAGTGTTTGCCAAAGCCCAAGATGATGTCCTCAAATGCCTTGTTTTGTCCACAACCCAAATATATTCAGTTTACTGACATAGAGTAAAAAAAAATAGAAAATATTCACATTTAAGAAACTGGAAGAAGAAAATTTTTACTTTTTTTCTTAAAAAAAAAAAGAATCAAACCGATTAATCAATTATCAAAAGAGTTGGTGAATAATTCAACTGTCCCTTGACGGACACCGGCTTTACATTAAGTCCTGCCTCCTATTCTGCATCTGATGAGTACCGTTGTTGCTGTGAGTGCTACAAATGAAATTCATTTCACTCCTATTGTATTTGATGAAGAAATCTCAGAGAACGATATTGTGAAATCTTAGCAAATAAAAATGCTGCAGACACCACTGCTAGTAAGTGAGGGATTTTTGTGTTTGTTTGTGTGTTGTAGTTTGGGAGCTTTAAAACTTTAAGGGTAAAGATTTGGACTTTTTAAATTGTGGATTTCAAGAATTTGAGAAGCAATCTTTACACCAAAACGTGTAAGGCCTACATTTCATATTAATGAGACTGCATTCTCAAAATGCCATTTTTAAATGTTCTTATGTCTGAGGTATCATTTTGTTTAGATTTGATATTAGATGTCAGCACATACATTAGTTACAATGAAATTAATTTAATTGGATGACATTCAGTTTAATTAAGTTACTTTCATACTTTACTTTCATGAGAGTCTAGTTATTCTATTGCTGTGGACTGTGTTACAAGACAGTCTACAGTCATGCTAGTGGCTCTGTGAGGCTGTCATCTTAGTTTAGTGTTTTATCATTAGTTAATTGGCACAAATCACAAACAACAGCTGAGCCTGATGGAAATGGTAGTTTTGCAGGTATTTGCCATAAAACATGGTTGACCTGATGGTTGTGCCAGATGAAAAGTCAGCCAATCACCAAAGTGATTATGGTTTAATCCTCTAAGCACCACAAATGTATGTATAAGATGTCATGGTAATCCATCCAACTTGCTGGTGGCACTCTAGGAAAAGTCCAGGGATCATTAAAGACAGTATGATCCATTGTTTTCTGCACAAAATGCCATGGCAACAGTTGTTGTTAATTCAGTCCGAACCAAAGTGGCACATGACCAACAAACAGAGGCATTGTCAGTTCTAGATATATAACAATAAAATATTTAAAACAAATAAAATGGCTGCCTGGCTGTCCACGTATATTTTGAATTATGAAAACAAAAAACTTAAGTAAAATAATACAGACCACACTCTGTATACCAAATTTTTGATATTCAAATAATACTGTTTTTTTTCTCACAACTTACCTTTAGATCCTGAGCTGATGTCTGACAACTTCTGCACCAGATCAGTCCTGCTCATCTTCTTTAAAACCTCCCTGGTCACCTCCACTGACTGTTGGCCGTAGATCTCCACCATCAGCTCCACTATTTCAAATCTGTCTGCCATCTCTATCTGGTGTCTTGGGATTCTTGGGAGGCCTTCGTTCACGTGTTTGTGCTGCAGGAGACACTTGAATTGCTGGAGCTCCCCAAAACTTAAATCTTCCAGTGTTTCGAAAAGCTTCCTCTGAAGTGATGTCATGTTCACTTTCTGATGGATTCAAAGTGATCAGAGAGGCATTTATGTGATACCTTCACTGTAGTGATAAAACATTCATTTATTTGCATCAACATAAGTTTCTGATTAATGAGACAATTGTATGATTCATTTAATCATTCGGTGATGTTTCTGGTTTAAAAACCTTAGTAAAGAGGTGGTCTTTACTATCACTATGAGGATAATTTTAAACCTGTCCCTATTAAATGATAGTTGTGTTGTGTTACGTGTGTAATGTGTAACATTACTCACTTTCTGGAACTGTTTAGACAGATGTTTCTCTGACAAGAAAGAAAAACAGAAAATGACCGATTCAAAATCATAAAATTGCAAACAGCATTAATTGCAAAATAACACTAAAATCTGCTCGCTTCTGACATCATAAAAATCAATCAGAGTGAGAGAGGTTGGACACCATATCATCAACACCTATTAAGTAACACTAACATTAACACAATTGTTGAAAGATTCTTGTTCAAAATGTGTCAAAGTATATAATTTACACTGTTGGCAAATTAAAATATTCAGTGTGTCAGTGAGGTGTTGAATCATTTTGTTTCTATTAATTATAAAATCTATTTATGAGACACATAAAGTTGCAGTTTTGTCTTCTGTCTCTAACCTTTGGGTCCTGAGCTGGTCTCTGACAACCTCTCCACCAGATCAGTCCTGTTCATGTCCATGAAAACCTCCTTGGTCACCTCCACAGACTGCTGGCCACAGGTCTGCACCATCAGATTCATTAGTACATGCGCACTGTTTACCCCGTCCACTTTGCTCCTTGGGATTTGTGGAGGCTTTTCTGGAAGTACGTAAACTGCAGCAACCGCATGAATTTCTTGAGCTCATAAGACTCAAATACTCCAGGGTTTCCAAAAGAATCTGTTTAACAGCTGCCTGAAAAATTCAAAGAATACGTTAAGCAAATACATTTATTACATTCCTGTGACAGAAACAGAATATTTTATTATTTATTGTCAGAGCATTTAATTATTTGATTGCTGTCAAGCTGTAATGAGAATTTCAACAAAAAATATAACCTCAGCTTTAACGCTGTGAGATCCATCCAATTTAAAACATTTGTTTTGGTTTGTGTCATCATTTATGATGTTCAAGATGAGGATGGTTTTCAACTTGCATCTATTGAATGAAAGGTGTGATGTGTAAAGTCAGACTCACTCTCTCGAATGGTGCAGGTTGATGTTCATCCACAGAGTGTTTCTCTGAGGAGAAAAGAAATTCATTATAAGCATTATAATCTGATTTAACACAGAGTAATAAGGCTCAGTAACTTTAAAAATAAATAAAACTAATTCTCTACAAAATGATATCATAGACACATTTACAATCTAGTCCTGTAACAAATAAAAAACTAAATAAACTCAATAAACCCATAACTTTCAGATTTTCTTGCGAGTGTGACGTGTGTTTATTTATAGATTTACTGATCCGTTTTTATATTCACATTGGTGATGATACTCATCATTCACTCAAGCAGACTCACTTTTTTTAAATCAGAAATTAGAAAATGTATTTATTAGACATTTATGGGATACGTGATAATGCAATGTGACATTTTTTGGTCTTCTTTGTCTTACCTTTGAGTCCTGAGCTGGGCTTTGTCAACCTCTCCACCAGATCAGTCCTGTTCATGTCCATGAAAACCTCCTTGGTCACCTCCACAGACTGTTGGCCGTAGTTCTTCACCATCAACTCCACTATTTCTGCTCTGTCTGTGTGTCTCAACGTCCATGAGATGTATGGGAGGTCCTGGGAGACAATCCACTGCAGGAACTCCTTGAATTTCCTGAGTTCTTCATTACTCAAATCATTCAGGGTTTCCAAAAGCAGCTGTTCAACAGCTGCTATTGTTGCGACCTGAAATGATCAATACATTCAATGGGAAATGTGTGTCTCTGCATCTCATCAATGGTATAGGTTCCTGTGGTAATTGTTGTTGCATTGTTTACAAAATGTTTACTTTTTTAAATGATTACTCTGTTTGTGTTATCTTTTTTTTGAGAAACACAAAGTAAAAGCAAAAGATTACCTTTGACCCCATTTTCATTGTTTCATGTTTTGTTTAACGCTTTAAAAACAGTTTAAAGTACGATAAATAGAAGTTTCATCAGTGTTTATTTTGCTTACTGTCTGGATCAGTGCAGAAGGTTTCTCTGAGGAGAAAAGTGGTAAAAGTAATGAGTGATTGATCCAACATCTGACAATAAACAATGTTATTAGGCAATACGGCTTTCCAATATTTATAAAACACAAAATTACACTTAAAGCTGTTTATATATAAATATAAAAAAAATTACATATTAAATGTATTTTTAACTCCTCTAGTGTGTGTGTGTGTATATATAAAAAGACATAGCTCTTAAACTTATGAGACACATGTTAAAGACCACTTTTAACATGAATTTGTCTTTATTGTCTTACTTTTGGATCCTGAGCTGCCGTCTGACAACCTCTGCACCAGATCAGTCCTCTCTATCCTCTTTAAAACCTCCTTTGTCTTCTCCACAGACTGTTGGCCGTAGACCAGCACCATTAAAAACACTGCAACCTGCATGTCTATTGTCTCCAGCTGCATCAATGAGATGTCTAGGAAACGTCTGCGCAAGTGAAATTGTTTTAGGAGGACTTTCTTGATGTTCCTAAACTCCCCGTCACTCAAAACAGCCAGCGTTTCCAGGAGCAGTTCTATAACAGACGCCATCATTTCCACCTGGTGAATTAACAGGAAATGTTCATGGATCAAAAGTGCAGTTAATCAGCTGGAATGATTTTTCTGCTCACATCTCATCAATGTCTGTGTTGTAGCTGTGTGTAGATGTGGATGTGTTAAGAGTACATCACCCATATCACACAAGGTATTGATACAGCTGGTAATATTTGTCCAGTTGATCACATATACCTGTTTTTTTTACAAATCACTTGTACGTTTACGTTTTTCTCTTTATAAACATTAAGGTAATTCACTTTTATCTTCTTCTTCTATCTTATCAAGTATTTTATTTCTGTTAACAGGTTCATGACTTTTTTTTTACCTGCTTAAGACATTTGTCATGTGACAACATGACAAACTGAATGCAGCTCCGGTATAGCTTCAAAACTTTTTATCAAAACTAGGATTTTGGTTTGTTCATAATTTATCATATTTAAGGTGAGGATGATTTTGAACCTGAATCTACTGAATGAAAGCTGTATGTGATTATTTTCGTTATTGATTAATCTGCCAATTGTTTTCTTAATTAATTGATTTATAGTTTGGTTAATAAAATGTCTGAAAATAGTAAAAAAATACCAATCCCAATCAGGTCTATGATGATGTCTTCCAGTGTCTTGTTTCGTCAGACAACAGCAAAAAAACTCAAAGACATTCAGTTTACAATGATACAAAACAGAGAAAAGAAGAAAATCCCCACAACTGAGAAGCTAGAACCAGAGAATGTTTGGCATCAGAAAAAACACCTAGCAAAATAGTTGCAATTTATTTTCTGTTCAATTAACTACTGGATTAATTGTTTCAGCTTTAGTTTAACGTCAGACAAATGTGACATCACTCACTTCTTGGATCAGTGCAGGCCAATGTTCATCTGCAGAGTGATTTTCTGAGGAAAAAGGAGAGAAAAAAAGACTAATGATTAATCAATCATCAGGCTTTATAATCAGACACTGTCAGACTATATAAATTCTAAGAATAAGGATTCATTGCAAAATGGACAGAATCAGAATTAGCTTTAGGTCTACACGTACAAGGGCTGTGTCAAAAAATGTGTAATATGGCAGTTTGTATAGTGAATGCAAAATATCATCACAAAACAAAGGCAGTTGGTCTGTATCAATAATACATGTATTGCACAGATCAGTAAAATGAATGTAAAACACTAATAAAATGCAATAAAAATGTGAAATATGGGGTCCGGAGTCATTATGTGTGTAGATTTACAGTCTGAATGTCCTTTGGAAGAAACTGTTATTTACATGTTATTAGTGTTTTCATTTTTTAAAGGGCACCTACCTTTCTCTGTGGTACCAAATGCTTCAGCTGATGATCCTGCAGCTGCAACATGTTTAATGAAAATTGTAATTATAATGATAAATACACTGTGTGTAGCATTTTTGCATACTTGTTCTAACTATAATACTCAGTCTTGAGAATAAAAAGCCTTTAATATTTCAGTGGCAGGTATGTGAGGGAAGAAAAGCCATTCTAAAGACAATTCAACAGACTCATGTGCAGACAATTATGCAACATCAGCCAAATTCCTATCAGGCCATATACAACACAAGACTGGAAATATGTGGCCAATAAAGAAGAATATTTTCAATGAAAATATGTTTAGAGCCTAGACCTTTGTAAAAATAACATTTACAAAAAAGAACCAAAGTCAATAGATTCATACATACATAATGTGAGATATATTCTACATATAAAGTCTAACATTTAGGAAACAGTGTCCATACACTTTGACTGCGTTTAAGTACCATTGGTGTAAACACAGCGTTCACCAACTCTCATGTCACCGGAGCCTTGCCCTCAACCTGCTGAGTAGATATTGACAGGCCAGGTCTGTGTAAAGATGTGGGCATAAAAGTCTTTGATTTTCTGGTGTTTGGCAGCATGAGTGCCATTTCGTCCAGACTGGACATTTACCAGAAGCAGCCTTAAGTTGAAGCTGGGCCAGCATGGCTCTATCTTTCCTCTGCTCTAGGGCGATCACAGCCCCTGCCGTGGTGCCTGGTCCTGATTATGTACATAAACATGCATATTGAGCAGTAGTACAATATCAGCACAGGAAATGCTGGGTTCAAAGTAAAATTCATTAAGCTGATCCATATTGGGGCGATGTGCTAGGAGCAGCCGATCGAACACAGCTACTGTATGGCTCAGAAGGAACAGTATTGTAGTATTGTGAGGGAACGCAAAACATATTTCGAGATAACACAAAAGTAGTCCTCAAAAAATCTTCTGCCCTGACCTTTAGGGGGCTCCATGATTTTCACATTTAGTTTAGCATTTTTTGGTTTTTGCATGCATAAGTAACTTGAATTTCTTAAATTAGGCACTTCAAAACAGAAGTACTAATCTACAGAGTAGGAAACACATTGCTTTATTTTTTTGGACGATGGACAGCTAACTGTGGAAGCTTCTTTTGTTAAGTTTTGTTGAGACTGTGTTAGAGAGGTGTTGATTCAACTCTTTGGTACTTTTTTGTCATAACATCTACTGTATGGTTTTTGCATTTTTTATACTGTGAGCTGCACTTAATAATTTGCCTTGCAAACTAAGCACAAACGATTGACTTAATCTGTGCATATGTATGTGTTATTATAAATTAACGTGACAATTTCTTCTTTATTTTACCTGTAGGTCCTGAGCTGGTCTCTGACAGCCTCTGCACCAGATCAGTCCTGTTCATGTCCATGAAAACCTCCTCGGTCACCTCCACAGACTGCTGACCGCACATCTCCATCACCATATCCACCACTGCGCCTCTCCTGTCTGTCATGAGCATCACTTTCCATGAGATGTCTGGAAAGCTCCTCGGGAAGAACCTAAACCGCAGCAACCACTTGAACTTCTTCAGCTCCCAGTAGCTCAAATATGAGAGTGTTTCCAAAAGCAGCTGTTTAACAGCCGTCATCGTTGCCACCTGGAACATTAAGTATAAGTAGAAAAAAATTATATACTTAAAGAGAAAATATGTTATTTCTTCACTGTAAAAAAAAAACAAATCAACATTTACCGTTTAGCATCTTATCAGTGTCATTATTTTAGATGTTTGACTGTTTTTAGATGTGCTTTTCTACAACATCACCTAAGCTATGGATACATTTGGAAATTTTCTGTTTTTTAGAGCAGAGGATAATTACTATTCCTTCCCTGATTAATAAAAAAGATATTTTTTCAATATCATGTTTTGGATTTTGTTCAATTCTTTGAAAAAAAGATTATCGAGCTCAACCTAATCTCAGCTTCAATTCTGTGAGAAACATCAAATTTAGAGGTTTGGTATCACGATATGATTTTAAACCTGCATCTTATTGAATAAGAGCAGCACTCTGCATGGTCAGACAGGTATGGCATTGCTCACTTTGTGGATCAGTGCAGACATGCGTTCATCGACAGAGGGTTTTCCTGAGGAGAGAGACAGGACATAAAAACGAGTGACTGACATCAGGCAAAAATGCTTTGTAAAAGAATTCTAATATCAAGGGGTCAATACGAAATATACTCAAACCTTATCAACAGTTACATATTTTTTATATTTCACATTAATCATTAATTTTATTTTGTACACCAGATGATAAGTCTTCTTCTCTCTACATTATAAACTATATTATTCATAATGTGAAGAGAAGACGTTTGTAACATAGCTTATAAACTTAGGAGACATGTGTCAAGTATGATTTTAACATGTTTTTGTCTTTACTGTCTTACTTTTGGGTCCTGAGCTGCTGTCTGATAACTTCTGCACCAGATCAGTCCTCTTCACCCTCTTTAAAACCTTGTTTGTCTTCTCCACAGACTGTTCGCCATAGCGCTGCACCAATAAAAACACCGTGTCCTGACGGTCTCTCATTATGAGCAACTTCTGTGGGATGTCTAAGAAGTGTCTGTGGAAGTTTGTTTGAAGCAGGAAATCCTTGAACAGCTGAAACTCCCTGTCACTCAAATCTGCCAGCATTTCCAGAAGCAGCTCTATAACAGACGCCATCGTTTCCACCTGGTAAATATATTGGAAATCACTTCATGTTCACATCTCATCAATGTCTGTGTTCAATTGATGATATTTGTCTACTTAAGCACATTAACATTTTTTTGTTTTACAAACTGCTTCTATGTGTAAATGTCTTTAGTAACGTCAGGGTTACAACCCTTTGTTCTATTTTAAAAACAGTTTATTTCCATAAGAAGGTACGTGTTGCATCTTTTCTTCTAATATAAAAAAGTAATCAAATACACTGATTTACTTTTTTCTGTTTTTAAAGAATTGTGAATTCCTCTCTCTGTCAAAGTAAGAAAAACTGATCAAGGAGAATACCGAGGTAGATATACAGGTAGATATAACACATCCATTCTTAAGACCCCATGTGTACATTATGTAGCTTGATCGGTTCAATTCAGTGAGAAAACTTACTTTAATGTTCAATCTCCATCAATTATAATGTTCGAGATCAACAAGATTTTCAGTCTTCATCTACTGAACAAAAGCTGCATTGTGTAAAAGTCAGAATGATGTGACATAGCAACTCACTCTCTGGATCAGCGAAGGCCCCTGTTCATCCACACGGTGTTTCTCTAAGGGGGAAAGAAATTAAAAAAGACCTCAAAGTAATTAATTTAACATCAGTCTTTATGAAGATTTATAATACAAAGGATTTAACCCCAAAGTCAAACTTAAATCTCCGTAACAGTGACAATAGCTCCGTTATGATTTTCCAACAGTGTTAATGGATTTGGATGCATTTGTTTTTGCAACATGGAAAAGTAAAAAAGTATTTTACTCCAGCTGATGGACTTTCCTATTTTTATGTAATAAAATATAAACATATATTTTTCTTGCCTTACCTTTGGTTCCTGAGCTCATGTCTGACAATCTCTGCACCAGATCAGTCTGGTTCCTCTTCTTTAAAAGATCTTTGGTCAGCTAAAATGTGATGGCAGTACTACAATAATAAAAACATTGAAATAAATAAACCTGTTCAAAATATACTTCCTTTGTTCAACTATGTGGAAAATTAGGAAACAAGTTTATATTCAGACCTTGTGTTTAGAGTTGACAAGCAGAGATGACTGTGTACATAATACCTGCACACCTACCTTTGTATTTACATCAGTTGCTGCCGCTGATGTATGGCAAATTCAGACTTCAGAACAATGTATTGTTCTTAGACATTCTGCATACATCTGTTGTCTTATAACCCTAAATGGTAAAATGAATGTTGTCTTTCTTTAACGATCAGAGCAACAAGAAAACAAGGACATTTTCAGCCAAAGAAAAAAATTTAAGAAATGAAAAAACAAGTTGCAGGATAAGTACATGGCAAATTATGAGCTTTTGAAGCACAATCCACCAAAAAGGTACAAAGCAGAGTGCGTAGAATAAACTAACGTTACACTTTTGAACTCATTCAATCTGAACTAAAGACACAGTGTAGTCTAAAATATGTCAACTGTGACAAATGTCCATAACTAAATCCTGGAGCACAAAGTGAATACAAAACACATAGATAGAGACCCATAGTATTTAATTTCCAGTGACACAAAAGAGAAAAGTTCAAGTTCTTACATTTGAGAAGCTTAAAATGCTAAACCAGAGAATGTTTGGCATTTCTACTTGATTTATAAAATGACGTGATTGATGACCAGACTGAATGACCGGATTATTAAAATAATGAACTATAAATTAGACATTTCCATTAAAACAATTTAGTATTAGTCTAACACTATTAACATGAATCATGGTGCTGTGATGCCATCTGAGCTGGGGCCAGGGGCCCTATCCTTAAATAGAGACAGGACAACTGTTATTTTCTCATTATGCTAATTAACCGAGCATGGCTGTTTTTCTCTCACACTCACTGCATCGTTGTGTTCTTATTTCTTATCTGGCAGAAATGTTGTGTCAAAGCACTTTGGATACTTAGCAAGCAACCTGTTTTGGACATACAAGCTAGTTAAGTGTCAGCTAGTAATGCATCATTAGTATTAAACTTATCATCAGGGGCGCCGCCAGGAATTTTGGGCCCCATGACAAGAAAATCTAATTGGTCCCACAATGCATGAATATATATATATATATATACACACACACACATATACATTTTCTTTTTTGTTATTGAAAAAAAGAGCTAGAGAGACAGAAATCCCCACAGACTCCATGGAATGACGCTAACTGGCGTGTCATTAACACAATGTTGCTCACCTTCTTCACTGGGACAGGGAGGGGGACAGTTATGGGGAGACTGGGGTGCTGCTGACTCATCTGTTGTTAAGTCTGCTAAAATGACAATGATTTAATGTAAATATCTTGCTAAACGTTTTTCTGCACTGATTAAATATTGCTGAATTGTAGGCTAGCACTAGTCTGTAGCTAGCTAGTTTATTTCACTATGGACATTAATCCAGCAGGTTAATCCACACAGATTGTAGGCTACCCACCTTTAGTGGTGAAAAACTAGGTTACTGATTGGCATCCCTTCCCTTGTCTTTCACTCTCTCTTTTCTCTTTCCTTTTTTGAAAACCAGATTTTGGATTTCTAAGCAACATTGCGATCACTGTATTTCGGCGCATCTACTAACTGCAACTAAACACCATCGAGTGCACTAAGGCAGGACCAAACCAACTCATGCACATACAGGGGGGTGGTTGGTCTTCTTCTTCTTCTTCTACTGGCTTTCCGGCAGACTAGATGCCTTACGGCATATTGCTGCCACCCACAGTTCAGTCTCGGTATCGCTTTATAGCACCTTCATTCTCAGAGGGCTAATCCTGTTGCAGATATAAAATCCATGACTGCTTCCAATATCCTTGATTGGTTCTCATGAGGATTCAAAATATCTCTCAATGTCACTGCTTGTAGTCCATCTCCTGCTACCTCAGGATACAGTTGTTCTCTTTGCCTTTTATACTGTTGACATTCCATAAACACATGATTAACAGTCTGTTGTTGATTGCAGGTTCTACAGAGCCCATCCTCATGTTTGCCTATCTTCGCTAGATCCCATGCAAATCCACAGTGTCCCAGCCTTAGTCTTGTCATAATTACAGCTTGTCTTCTGGATTTACCCAAGCAACTCTGCTCTGTCTTTACTTTGTTTTGTATTGCATAATAATGCCGGCCCTTTGTTTCCTTTTCCCACTGCCTCTGCCATACTACTATAGTGTTTTCCTTAATGACAGATCTACATTCAGTGACCCCAATACAAACTTCTAAATCAATATCTCTTTTCAGAGTCATTTTTGCTACCTTGTCTGCCACCTCATTCCCTTCTACCCCAACATGTGCAGGGACCCAGAGAAATCCCACTGACCCTCCAGCCTTTTCGATTTTATACAACAGAACCATCAGCTCCATAAACAGATCTGGCCGAGCTCCCATATTACTTCCTCCCAGAGTTTTTAACACTGAAGCCGAATCTGAGCATATTACTGCTCTCCTTGGTTGCACTTCCTCTATCCACTTTAGTGCCCATATAATAGCTAGAAGTTCTGTTGTATACACCGATACCCCCTCAGACAGTCGTTTAAGCTTTACATATTCATATTGTGGGATATAAAAAGCAAAGCCTGACTTCCCAGTTTGTGGATCTTGGGATCCATCTGTATATATCTGAAGGTAAGTTCCCCACTGATTTTCCAGTCTTCGCTTTACCATATTGGGATACTCTGTGCCTTCATGATGTTTGATGTTATCCATTATACTAAGATCTATTTCTGGTATGGACATCAACCACGGTGGTACAACTGACCAGTACACTTGCGGGGCCACCCCTTCCTCCTTCAGTCCCAGTTCCTCAATTTTTTTCCTGATGTTAAACATAAAACATTCCTTCCTCCTTTTCCCTGATCCCCACTCCCACGCATTACTTAGACTATTTTTGTAGGGTGTTCTCCTTTATGTGCCCATAATTTAACAATATACTGCATTGCCAATTTCTCCCGTCTAATTGACAATGGCATTTCCCCCATCTCTACCAACAAAGCTGGGACTGGAGTTGTACGGAGGGCCCCGCAACATAGTCTCAGTGCCTTAGCTTGTATTACTTCCAGCCTCTTTAAATGTGTATCAGCGGCTGTCCCATAACACACACATCCATAATCCAGCCTAGATCTTATCATTGCCCTGTAGATCATTAGTTGAGTATCTCTGCCTGCACCCCATGTGCTACCTGAGAGGGAACGCATTACATTTAATACCTTTTCACACTTATTTACAACATTATCTATCTGCTTTTTCCATGTTAGCTTCTCATCCAAATGCACACCCAAAAATTTGAACTCTTTAACCCTCTCAATTGCTTGTTCATACAAAAATAAACCACCACATTCAGTTTTCTTATTACCAAATATTATATACTTTGATTTCTCCACTGATATCCTCAACCCCCACTTTTCACCCCAACTAGTTACTTTGTTCAGAGCTACTTGCATTTGCTCAGTTATTTGTTTGACATTCCTGCCCCTTTTCCAGATGGCCCCATCATCTGCAAAAAGAGATTTTCCAAAACTATTCCCAATTTCTTAAATATATCATTTATCATAATATTGAAAAGGACTGGGCTTATCACGCTACCCTGAGGAGTTCCGTTATCGATACCTGTACCAGCTGATAAAGCATTTGCAACCCTAACTTGAATTCTCCTGTCCTTCAAGAAGTCTTGTATCCAGTTAATCATCCTCCCTCTGACTCCAGCCTCATATAGTTTTATGACAAGCCCCTCCTTCCATAGCATGTCATACGCCTTTTCAATATCAATAAACACCGCCATTAATACTTCTCTATTCACCATTGCTTTCTTTATATCACTGTCAAGGGACGTAACAGCATCCATGGTACTTCTCCCTCTACGGAATCCACTTTGTACTGATGTAAACCATCCCTTCTTCTCTAACTTATAAACCAATCTGTCTGTAACCATCCTTTCCATTATTTTACATAGGACTGATGTCAGTGCAATGGGCCTGTATGATCCTGCCTTATAAGCGTCTTTCCCTGGTTTCAATATTGGAACCACCAGTGCATGCTTCCATGTGCTAGGTAGACTTCCCTCTTGCCATATGTGATTCATTAAGGCCAAGATTTCCTCCAAAACTTTGTCACTAAGATTCTTAACAATCTCATAGCTAACACCATCCTTTCCCGGGGCTGTTTTCCTTCCTTTTCCAATTGCCCTGTGCAATTCTTCTAATGAGAAAAATAAATTACCCACATCAGAATTATCATTATTTATCTCAAGTTTGTATCGATTTTGCTCTAATATCTCATTTCTTTTCCTTATACCTGCTTCACCAATGTTAGCTCCACTGTGAACAGCTCTAAAGTTATTTTCACATAGCTTTGCTTTATCCAAATCACTTGTAGCAAACAATCCTCCATCCTCTAAAACTGGCATTTTCCTTTTCCTATTACTTCCTGCCATACGATGTACTGCCCGCCATATTTCTGTTACTGCAGTCTCTGCCCCTAGTTTTCCACAGTATTTTCTCCAGCACTCTTTTTTTGCAGTCTTAATCACTCTGCGTGCTTTGGCTCGCAGTCTTTTATATTCTACTGCTTTATCTTCTGTTGGATGTTTCCTCAATGCTCTATACCCACAATTCCTGTGTCTTACTGCTTTATCACAGTCCTTGTTCCACCATGGCACACTAATTTTCCTTTTAGAACACTTCTTTATCGGGATAGATTCAATTGCACTTTTCATAATTATTTCACATAAGCTGCTATTCCATTCCTCTATTGTCCCTTCCTCATTTACTTCCTCTATAGTTTTGTTACACTTTTCAGAAAAAAGTGCCCAATCTGCCTTACTATAATTAAATAAGTTTTGGTTACCCTGTTCTTCACTCAATAAAGTTTTCCCAAACCTCAATAATATTGGGTAATGATCACTCCCTATTGTATATCTGTCCAAAGAATCCCACTCTCCAACCCTAGCTAGTTCACTGGACGCTAATGCCAAATCTATATATGAAACATTTCCTGTTCTAATATCAAATCTAGTTGGCCTGCCATCATTTAAACAAACTAATCTCCACCTGTCCATAAATTCCTCTATAGTGCTCCCATTATTATCTTTTATTCTGCTACCCCAAAGAGGGTTGTGAGAGTTAAAATCCCCCACCCAAATGACCGGTGTCCCTACTTGTTCCATAACCCACTCCAACTCGCTTAGATTTATTTGCAAACAAGGATTATACATGTTTATTATGTTAATCCACCTGTGCTGTCCCCAAACTCTTACTATAACACATTCTAGTTTAGACATTATCTCTACATTTTGATACTGTACATCTGATCTTATAAATGTTGCACACCCTCCCCCAGACTTTCCTTTTCTATCATATCTGTTACTTTCATATCCAGGAATCACAAAATCTAAGCATGGTTTAAGCCAAGTTTCCTGAATACATATCACCTCTGGTAGATCCTTAAATTCATCAACAAATCTCTTAAGTTCCTGTCCATTAGCCATCAAACTCCGTGCATTCCATTGTAAGATGTAAAACATCAGCAATTTACCTATCATCATTTATGTCCATGTTTCTTCCCCCAGTACATTCCTCATTACTGTCAGTGATCTTTGTTTTCCCCTACCTCTTTCGTAAACTTCCAGTTTCTGTCTCATATACTTGTGCAACTCTTCAGGACCCATACATGCCTCTTCCAGAAATCTCTCTGCAGCATCCACCACCACTTTAATAACGTCAGATCTTCTGGTTTGGTCTCTAACTGCCCACAGAACATCTACCATGAATGCCAGGAATGACTGGGTTCCCACAATCTGCCTCACTTTCTCCCTATCAGGCTGGGAATCAGAAGGTACTTCAACTACCACTTGTCTGGAAGGTTCCCCCGTTCCCCTCACTTTCTTCAGGGCATCTGCATATGATATTTTGCCTTCAACTCTCAATTTCTCTACTCCCACAGCTCTAACATGATGCTCACACCCCCTAAATGAAGATACATGATTTCTGCCACAGTTACAGCACTTGACTATATCAGCTTTACATTGAATAAAGTCATGGCTTCCTCCACACTTCCCACATCTTTTTTTCCCTCCGCATGCTGCTGCTACATGGCCATAGCGTTGACAATTGTAACAACGCAGTGGGGGACGAATATACTGTCTCACTGGCAAGCTAATATATCCAAGGCTGACCCTTGCTGGCACAATATCTTGCTTGAATGTTAATAGCACAGCAGTACCGGTTTCTTTGAATCTCCGTACAGCTACAACCTCAGCTCCCTTTAAATTCTTCAAGATGTCACTCTCTTCTATCTCAAGGCTTACATAGATCACTCCCTTAGCATTTTTAGCCTGACCAGGAATAAAACATTCAACAGGCCTGTTAAGCAAATGCCGAACTTTAAGGGCATTCAACCTCTGATTATCATTTCTGCAAAAAACAAGTATATTCCCATTCATCATCATTTTAACATTTAGAACTTTTCCCATTTTGTTTTTTAGCTCCTCCGATAGTCTGAGTGGGTTTAAGGCTTTGTCACTTTTATCTTTGAATTTAACTATCATCCTAAATTCACCCTCCTGTTCAGATCTTGGCATTTTCCTTGTGCTTTGGGACTCGTCACTCTCACTTCCACTTCCATTGTCAGATCTATCTCTTTTTTCAGATTGTCTGGACTTTTTGTCATTACTCCCAGCACCATCACTAGTTTTCCCCTTCGGCGGCATAGCCCATCCCTCGTTGGGGAGCTGCCTGCTGCTTCAGCTCACAACACAAACTCTCACAGGAGATGCCAATTGAGATATCAACTACTTGTCCCTTGTAAGATTAATGAGTCACAAAGTAATTTGAATCGCCCTCCAAACCGTACAACTCCTCCTAGCCGTGAATCATCCAGTCTTCGGCGTCACAGCTTCCGGGTCAACCAAAAATCGTCCAGCGGGGTGGTTGGTCAATATCGATGTTTACTTTAGGTCAATGTGGATATTTTATTTATTTAATCTTTTATTGCCAAAAACAAGTGAAAACAAAAAGTTTGTTCATTTTATTATTATATTTGAAATATATATACTTAATGATTGTTTATATAATGTATAATAAAATATAATTTTATATTAGTTTTTATGTATTTTTTTGGAATTGTCCAAACTTTTCCCCCCTATACAGCGCCCCACATATTAATGTTAATAGCTGCTACGCCTCAAGAGGAAGCAAAGCTAAAAGTGAAACTAAAAACGAACCTATAACGTTAAACGTTATAACTTATTACCGTTTTTAAAACAACTTAGGGGCCTAGCTTCAGTTGAAATCTGTCCACTTATGTTAATAATTGCAGAAAACCATGAACGGGGCTGCTATTTGATAATAACAGGAAGGCTTCTTGCTGGATGTGGAAATAAAACTTACCGGCAGTCGCTTTCTCTCTCCTCTTGTCAGTAGTTTGTTTCAGTCTGCTAACGTTTGAAAACAGAGTTAAGTTTAAAATCCAGCCACATTTCTGCCTTTGGCTCGCTCAGCTTCCTGAAGCTGAAAGTAACCCCGTTTCCTTCAGTCGTCTAGTGCATCTATGTTTTCAAAGTGAGAGGCGGCCTCCAAACAGTTTCAGGGGAGGCTCAGTGAATGGAAGTGAAAAAAAATATTACAGTAGGTTAGTAATGGTAGGCCCCCTCTCTTTCAGAAAACCTTTTCTGTATATTGCCAGGCAATAAATTATTTCTAGCCTTGAACATAATTACTGCTGTTTGAAATTCAACTAGATCAAATAGTTTTAATGCTTTAGACTGTGAAAATAATGAGTTGGTGTGTTCCAAATATCCAGTGTTATGAATTATTCTCATTGCTCTTTTTATTAAGTATAAACAACGATTGCAATGAATTTTGATATGTGTTACCCCAAACCTCTACACAGTAATTTAAACACGGTAACAAAAACAGTGAACAATACAAAATGTGGACTGATCTGTGATCTAGAATGTGCTTAGCTTTAGCCAGGACTGAACACTTCTAGACAGTTTTGTTTGGATATGTTTTATGTGAGATTTCCAGCAAATCTTGTCGTCTATAATCACTCCAAGGAATATCATTTCATACACTCTTTCTATATTAACAACCTCGATCTGTAGCTGAACTTGATTGATTGATTGATTTACAATACCAAATATCATGAATTTAGTTTCACTCAAATTTAATGATAACTTATTTGTGTCAAACCACTGTTTTATTTTTCTGAATTCTGAAGTGATTAAGTCCAGGAGTTGCTGTAAATTCTGACCAGAACTAAAGATGTTTGTGCAAATAAAACAAATTTGAGTAGATCAGATACTTTACATGTGTAATTTTGGTCCCAACACTGACCCCAGGGGGACACCACACGCACTGTCCAAACATTCAGATGTGTAATCTCCTGTTATGACCCTGGGGTCATATTTTGTTTGTTTTTATCTCCCCCTGCAATGTCAGCTGTTCTCCTCCCTTAGATTGTGGGTATGCAGGTAATGGAGAACAGGTGGGCGCACTGGATTGGTTCTGCAGAGCTGATTGGAGTCTCCTGATTGGTCACCTGGATGACTGCAGCCATCTTAAGCCCCACTAGTATCCAATACTTATGCATTTGACTCATAACAGTTCAAAATAGCACTGTAGCAGCAAGACAGAGGGTCAGTGACCTTTGGAGAGGTGTTCTACAGGGAGAGCAGTGATTGGTGGTTATGTAGCTTGAAGGGACTGAACCGTTTTGTTACCTTAAAATAGTACTGTACCCTTCTATGGGTTTGACCTTTTACTTTGCAGACTTAAACCCTTCTATGGTACCTAACAGATACCTAAACATATCCTATATAAGCTATGTTTGATGTACAGAGAGACAGAGTGGTCATCGGGCTGGGTCACTCTCCAAGCTGCTGCAGACCTTGTAATTGATGCTGAACTCTTTGATTTAATAAACTTTTAGGATCAAGAACAGTGTCAAGCAGGTTTCCTCTCAACACATCATCGCAGCATTATTGTTCAGACACCACACACTCTCTCTGCCATTCCCAACCTGAGCCTGTGTACTGTGTATTATGTCTGTTAGTTGTGAGTAGAAAACTGCTGTGATTAGAGGAGACTTTGTAAATTAATCTGTGTAGCTTAGTTTTGTAATTGTCGTTGAAAACCTTGTTTTGTTGGCCTTAGCCATTTCTGTTGTAATATACAGATATTTCTTTGTTGCAGTGTGTAGGAGTGCGAAGCCCTTTTTGTTTGCAACCTTTTTCTCCTATTTTTGAGATTAGAAGCCTAGTTTAGAGCTTTGTCTTTTCTTTACTGTCTCTTTTTGGTTTTAGTTTTCTTAGATTGTTTTGGTTGTTGTTTTGGGCACTGCTCATCTCTGAAGTTAATAAAACTGCTAAATTGTATTTTCTGTGTTCTGGCCTTGTTTGGGAATGGGAAGAGTGGGAAGCCACACCTTTATGTTACATCCAAGACACCCCTAGACCTTGGGACGTAACACTCCCAACTTCACAAATTGTTTCCTGTCTTTTAAATAACTGCTTAACCAATTTAGCACTATCCCCCTGATCCCGAGCCTTTCCAGTTTATTGATTTGTATTTCATTATTAATTGTTAATTGAAATGCTTTTTTCAAATCAATGAATACCCCAACTCCATATTGAATTTGTAATTTCTTCAATGAGTTCAATTAAAGCTAGTGATGTTGACCTATTTTTTTCTGAATCCATACTGGTTGTCAGAAAGCAGTTTGTGTTTATCTATGAATATGTCCAATCCGTCGTTTACTATTGTATTCATTTTCTGCTTCTATAGTTCGGTGTTTAATAAATTCTATATAAAGTGTATTTTTCTTTTTACAGGCATTTTGTAATCCTTTTGAAATCCACAGTCTATCACTATATTTTTGTTTTCTGCAATATTTTTTTATCTGGCAATTCTTATATAATAATTGAAATATTCTTAGGAATTCACCATATTTATCCATATCTTTTTCCTTATATATTATTTCCCAGTCTTGTGAAAGCAAATCTTTAAATGCAACCATAGACTCTTCTGTTGTGACCCATCTGAATAGAGGTTTGTTGTCTTTTTTAAATGTGTAGTTGCTGTTGTAAACTATAAAAACTGCTAGGTGGTCACTGATGTTTTATTAATAGTCCACTCACTGTGTTCTATGTCATTTGTAAAAATATTATCAATTAATGTTGCACAGTGGGAAGTAATCCTGCTGCGGGTCTGGTAATTTGAGGGAAAAAGCCCAGACTATACATTGTATTGATAAAATCAATTTTCATATTGTGCTTGTTTGGATTTATCAAATCAATATTGAAATCCCCACAGATGAACATGACTTTCTGATTTGTTGTTGTAAATTTTTCCTCCATCCAATCCTGAAATAAATCAACATTAGAACCAGGTGATCTATAGATACAACTTACAATAACATTTTTATTTTTTTCCCCTACATACTTCTATTGTGACACATTCAAGTAAATCATCCACCACTATAGACATTTTTTCCACCACCTTGTGATTAAATTTCTTGTCTACAGACAAAGCCACACCACCCCCATTCTTGTTTTCTCTTTTCTCAAACATTTCATATCCTGAATATAATAATAACATCCATAGTCTGAGCCCTTTTCACTGTTTATCCAACTTTCAGATATAGCAATTATATTGAAAGGCTGTTTGAACTGATTTAGATAATATTTAATGTTGTGAAAGTTAGTGTAAAGGCTTCTGCTGTTAAAGTGTATTATTGATAGTTGGTTTTCAGTATTAACTGAACTATTAAACTGTTCATTGGTGTAATAAAAGCAATTGCTGTTGGTGTTGAGGAAAAAAGTTGTTGTCTTGTGAAGAGAATAGGCATCTTGTTTCATGAGCCAGTTTTCTATATCTGAATCTGCACACTGAACTCCAGTACTGGCAGTTATGGCCTTTTTAAGTTTTTGCTTGCCTCCATAACCCCCTGCATTGCCATATAGTATATATTTCGTATCACCACCTCCATGATCTTTGTTACAAACACTGACCCTTCAATGTCTGTGCTCAAGTATTTTATTTCCAAGGACATACACAACATATCCGTCAGTGAGGATATATACACTTTTATATACAGTATAAGCTTTTCAGAAAATCGATACAAGCATCTATGTTTTTACAAATCAAAGACTCAGTTAAGCAATGCATCACATCATCAACATGTTGGTTTCTGGTTACCATTAAAACACACAAATCAATACTAAAAGTACAAAAACAAAACACATGACCCATATGAAATTCATTATCAGGTAGCCTTTTTGTTGCTCTGGGGTCCCCATCCTTGCATTATGAATGACAGAATCGTCCTTGCATGATCTACAAAAAAGATGTAGGATTCTGGATCGTACACTGTAAAAATTCGTTCAGTGCTATTGTCCTTATAACTTAATTTTAAAAACTATATTTATTCCAATAAATTAACTTATTTTTCTTTCTTTGTTTTTTGAGTTTTCAAAAAGCAAAAAAGTGTGAATATTTTCGTAACTTAATATTTTCTATAATAAAATTAATTTAATTGGACTTCACCATAAATTGATTTTACAAAACTCATTTTAAAAGTTTATATCAGACGTATCCTTATGGACGTATCAGACGTAAAAAGACACGACCCGCCCACTACCTGCAGCAACAGAAGAACAAGCCCGGGCAAATCCTTCATCTCGTCTGTTCCAGAAGTTTATTCGAACGGGGTTTTCTACGGAGCCGGATAATACTTCACGTACCTCATGTAAGTAACTCTTTGTGTTGTTAAAAGTGAGATTTTACCCTAATTAACGTCTTTGTGCTGCACAATCGCTCTGTCGAAGAGCGCCAATTTCGAATGTGCTCTAACGTTAACGTTACCTCAAACAGTTTGTTAACTTGAGCCACTAACTGTATTAATCTAACGTTACGTGTGTGTGCGCGTTGTATAAGTAATGTTGACTTTGTGTGATAGTTTAATGTTTCAGAGGTGTTTGTAACTTCTTCAAAAACATTGAGTCCGCTGCCAACGCTGTCGAAGCTACGACAGACACACGTAGCCACAGCTAACGTTAGCTAAGTTAAGTGATTACTGATTATCGTCGGTTGGAGATGAATGTTAATGTGCCAGTGCAGCAGTTACTTTGGCGAGTACACAATCCACACAACCTAACCAAAACCACATTGATGAGGGAGCAAACATTTGCAACTATGAGTGTGGGCACTGTTAGCTAATGTGGATTAGCACATAGCCTGAAATACACCCACACCGCCCGCGGTTAACACACCTCAACGGTGGTGCTCAAGGTGCAGGCCCATTTCTCCTCATCCAGCGTGCTTTACACGTGTTTGTCTTAACAGGAAAACTTTGTATTTGACTGTGGCACATTCACACATCTCACACCAACACACTTTACAGTCATTCCAGTTGTTCCACTAATATTTTGGCAAGAGAGGTTACAAGTATTTTAGGCTATCTAACCTAACAATCTAACAATTAGTCAATTGTGATGGTTAGACATGAGGTTGACATGATGTTTCAGATTATTTTCTAAAATAAATTCTGTTATGAACTAAAGTTACCCATTCTTGTCTTGTCCAGCAGGATAATCTTCATTTGTATTTTAAGTGAATTTTTTTATGGATTTTATCAGGCTTGTATTCAAAAGGCTAGATGTAACTAACTTTATTTATTTTTATTGACAGATGGGATGGCCCTGTAAATTGTGCAACACTGTGGTACCAGGAAAGAGTGACATTTTAAAGCATTATAGACTGCATCATGGGACTTTTGGACACAGCCATGCCTTGCCTTTTATTCATATAGATTGCCCATGTTCTTTTAAATCCTGGAGTTCCTTCCGCTCTCACCTCTCAAGATACCACCCAGAAGCTAAATCCTTCATCTCACCACAAGTAAGTCTTTCATTTACCTGCCCTTTGTGTCAAAACCCTGGATTTAACAACGAAAAGGATTTTTTTGAGCATATAGGTCACCATCTCAAGAATAACGAGACTGTTAAGTGTGTCTTCATAGGATGTGATCACCAAACAAATGTGTATGGGACGTTTGCAACACACAAACACAGAAAGCATACTCCACATACATCACAAGATTTCAAACCAGGGATTATTTGTGGGTTACCCGAGGAAGCACTTGATTTGAAGCCTCTGAAGAGGATGAGGTCCACAATGATGCTAATCATGAAGGCAGTAGCACTAATGCACACTATGAAGAGGAAGATGGAAGCAGTGTAGTTGTAGAGTATATAGCATCCCTCTTGTTGAAATTAGAGTGTTCATAATGTTTCAGTTCGGTGCATTGATGAATTGGTTGATGATCTTCACTTCATAGCAAATTCTGCATGCATATCTTCAGTTAAAAGTATCATTGTTTCACATTTTAAGAAAAATAACCAAACCATTGATGACACTGTTGTTACATCTTTGGTGGAAGAATTGTGCAATTCCAATCCCCTAAGCTCAGCACTTAGTAGTGCTGGTCATCTATCCTCATCGTTCAAGAGACGGAAGTATTATACAGAAAAATTTGAAGTTGTTGAGTATGTCCTTGAACCAAATGAGAAGAGAAGTTTCCAGTATATTCCAATTCTTAAGTCTTTGATTAATATTTTGGGTAAAGAAGATCTTCGAGGAAAAAGTTCTGAGTAAAGAAAAGGACAAGCCATCTACTAAATATGAATCATATCAAGACGGTACAATCTATAAAGATAATTCTTTTTATTCTGAAGAACTAAGAATTACACTTGTACTGTACATTGATGACTTCGAAATTTGCAATCCACTGGGAACTTCAAGAAAGAAGCACAAGATTACAGCTGTATACTGGGTGTTTGGCAACATTCCACACTCAACTCGGTCAACTCTGAGCTCTGTGTACTTGGCCCTTTTATGTAAAGCAGTGGACATCAAAAGATTTAATATCATAACCACATAACTCTCGTTGAGCAACGATGCCTTACTGATGTATATCCTCTGTCTGCCTATATTGTTGCAGGAAAGCAAATGGTGATATTGAAGCGCCACATCTGTCTCCAACATAACTCTTCTTAGAAATGGAGCAAACTGTGAGATTCCGGGTCCTCATCGATCATGAAATCAAGACACTCACTCTCAGCAGTGGCATGCCCTCAACTGTGAATGAGTTGGTTGCAGCTGTCAAAGAACATTTTTCCATCCCCACAGATATAAGTCTTCAATACAAAGATGAGGAATTTGATGACTTCTTCACCCTAACATCTACCAATGAGCTGAAAGATAAGTGCACACTTAAAGTTGTGTATACACCGCTGGAGTTGACGCTGACCGTTGTTCCCCAGGAAAGCACCCCAGATGCCTCTGATGTCAGCTCTCTCTGTGAGTGTACGAGTCTCAGTGGGAACTCAGTGGATACCGTCATTCCGAGTCCATCCCCCTCTGAAAGGCAGAGCCCATGGCCTGCTGTGTTTCCAATTCCAACCTTCTCACACAACACTGAACTGGCCTTAAGACAAGGAAACGAGATTTATTTAAGAGATGGCACCCCTATGACATCACCAAGTATCAAATCAGACATCCTGGAGCGCCTGGCAGAGGCCATATTTTTCTACACAGCTTACCCCAATGATGCCCAGAGATGTGCAGTGGCAGAGGCACTAGTTGCAAAGCATCCCTGCTTAAAGGAGCCCGGATCTTTTAATGGAACTTATGGGTGGCAGGTAAGCCTAAAGTATAAGTGTGGAAACTACCGGACAAAACGGAAAGCACTTGGAAGCACTGAACTCCTGATAAACTCACTGAGAAACAAGTCAAGTGATGAGCGAAAAGCTGCTAAAAATGTCAAAAAACCAAAGAGGGCAGAGGTGAATTACTTGCCCTCACACCCACATGGTGAAACAGATGACACCCTTGAGAATCTGAGACTTGACCTAATTGCTGCCCATCAGACAAAGGACTCTGTCAGGAGCACAAATGATATGATGGCCATAACATACAGCTGGAGAAGACAGGAAGTTATTACAAAGTCTCCTGGTGTGGCAGAATTCAAGGAAAGATGGCCTGCCCTCTTCGAACCATTCCAGGTAAGTGACTTATCATTCAGTTTTTGCTGACACTACTCACTTCTGAGAACTTTTTAGAAATTGTGACTTGGACATGAGATAGTAGATTAATCTTTAAACCCCCTTAAATAAGTCAAACATTTGCTGTCTTACAGGTAAACGAGGAGTTCCGAAGATGTACTGCGGTTTCCCTGGAAGCGACGTTTATGTCACAGCTGGACAAATACACCCCAAAGCTCCTAGAACTCTTTAGTGCCAAGGGAGGAGCAACTGGTCAACGCATCAAAAAGTTGTTGATGGATCTGATACAGGTAGGGAAAAATTGGTTACAAAGTTAAGGTACGATATTAATCAATTGAGTGGTTTTGTTTTTCAGTTTTTTCAGCATCTTGCTTATCTGGGTGGCTTTTGTTTTGTTGTTTTTTTTTTTTGTTAATTAGCCAGTTTTTTTCTAAATTGTCTCGTGTTATTACTATTAATATATATAATGAATAAAAAAGAAAAAATAATAGACCTACAGTAATTACAGGGTTGGAGTGAATTTACCAACAAAAATAATTTATTCATTATTGTTCTATTAACTAGGACCCAAGTGCCACTACAGTGAAGAAGAGAGATGTCACTCTGAGATGCCTCTTTGAGTATATGGGAGAGAGTGGACAGGAGCTTATCTCGGATTACTGTGTAAGTATTGTCTCAAAGCAGGTTTGGGTCAGTCTGGTGAACATGTTTAAATTGTGCGGACTGTTAAAGGATAACTCTTGCCAAATTGCAATCTAGGCTATTTTTGCTAATCTACCAGAGTCATACTTTCTTGTAAAAGCATAATTAGAATGGAAATGCCACTTTTAAGATTGACCGTATTTTCGTTTTCAGGTCAAAATGCCTTTTGAATGGGTGTGCTAGGGGCACTACAATGATTGCATCAAAATCGCTAGTTTTAAAACACTAAAGCGGCTCTACACATGAACTTGAGCATTGACAACATTGTTTGTGTACACACAGTTTACTAAAAAGAAATGTTTTGTGCGACTCACATTATCAGTTAGTGTTTACGGTGGCTGGAATTTTGACAGTCAAAAGTATTCGATCTCCGAATGCCAATGTAATGAACTACATATGAGGAAATGTCATGAACTTGTAATTCCAATAAAAAGCATGATAACTTAGCTCATGGCAATTTATATGGAAACAAACTTTAGGAGCTTTCCATCTTTACTCTCCTCATGTTGCATTGCATTTGGAGATTGACAAAATTCCAGCTACCAGAAACACAAACATGTATGTATGATCTACAGGGTATTGCACCAATGTTGTCTTAACCTAGAAGTGTGTCTATAACAGCTTTTCAGAGGATTAACTAGCGCTTAAATAATATGAATCACTGACTTGTCCAGGCGACACATAAAACTAAACATCAGTTGTCTTAAGAGTTCCTCACAGGTTGGCACTCTAGTAGACACAAACAAATGACTGGCCCTATGTCACATAGGCACACGAAACAGCAGCCGCCACTGATAAAGTGAGTCGTACAAAACCTTTCTATAAGGCGCACTTAAAAGCCTTTAATTTTCTAATCCGGAGCGCCTTACATATGAATCAATTGGTTAATAACGCTCTGCGTTATTAAATTCGCCCGTGAACTCGCGCTCGTGTCCATCTTATGCCCGCTCTGTCACACGGCCAGTTCAACCTCGTATAAATCAGTTATGTGTGTAAGTCACGTGCCCGCTCACGACCGCTCACTCTTACTAACAGACACACTGTCCCCCGCGCTGCTCGCGCGTCACAGAATGTTCATAAAGCGCTCCCTGTTCACAGTAACCGGGTCGTCTCATTCAAACAGCCTGCTGTTGCTGTCAGCGAGCCGCCGCACATGAATACTCATGAGTCAGGCTGCGAATGCAAGTTACGTGCCCGCCCCAGCGCCTCACCTCCGGCGCCGCGCATTCGCTACATTCCCTTTGGCACATCTAGGGATGCATAACGCAAACCCAGTCAAACGTTTGACTGCAGTATCTTATGCGCCTTATAATCCGGTATGCCCTATATATGAAAAATGTTCTAAAATAGGTCATTCATTGAAGGTGCGTCTTATAGTGCGGAAATACGGTACACAATGTTGTCAATGCTCGAGTCCATGTGTAGAGCTCCTGGTGACACTTCAAGTACAGTTTCATGTTGTGTTGAGCCTTCTTAGTGTTTTAAAAATAGTGATTTTTATGCCATCATTGTAGTGCCCCTAGCACTCCCATTCAAAAGGCATTTCGACTTCATATGAAAAAAGTCAATCTTGAGAGTGGCATTTCCATTCTAATTATGCTTTTACAAGAAAGAATGACTCTGGTAGATTAACAAAAATAGCCTAGGTTAAATTTTGGCAAGCGTTTCCCTTTAATGTGAACTGAATGAACCAGCATTTGGCAGGTAGCGGATTATTTATGCATTTATTTATTTTTCTTAATAAATGAGATTGTTTGTCTTAAATACTTTATCTTGTATCTCAAAAGGGGGCCGCAGAGACCACTGTTCATGAGTGACCTGAAAATTAAGAACATGAGCATCTATGTCTGCCGTGAGCCAGATGCAGTAGGAATCATCATTGAGGGAATACCAGTCCTTACCAATCTTGGAAACCTGGCCAAAGCATGCTGCTTCCTGCTTGGGTTGACATATGCACTTAATCTTGAGTATCCATCCAAGCTTTCCAAAACATTTGAGGTGTTTCAAAGACTTTTCGTGGGACTTGACACACTGCGCCCAAAACCAAGCCCCAAGTTCATGACCCTGAAAAACAAACTCCTTGCCTAGGCACTCAGACATGACTGTCACTGCACTTGTGAACAGCTGTTTTCTTCTTTCTATTTTCAACATCATTATACATTGGACATAATGGGTGTTATGTCCAATGTTATATTGGACATAATTGGACATTCAGGGTGTTTAATGGTTTATCCTTGTCATGTTTTATACTGTACACAGGTCATACTTCCTGGTGTGAAAAAGTAATTATATTTTATACACACAAAATAGACCTGCTATGAAGCTGCACTTTAAAAACTGGTCAGTAGGTGAGATCAGTGAGATGTTTGACTAAAGATGTTTCAAAATATTCACACACGCTGTGAAGGTATTATGCCAAGTTGAGGTCAGATGGTCATGCTTGTGACCTGTAATGTTAGTGTTAAATGTTTCAATATTATGTTCACACTGTACTGTTAAAAGGATAGTTCACTTCAAAATGAAAATTCTGTCATCATTTACTCACCCTCAAGTTGTTTTAAACCTGTATGAATTTCTTTCCTCTACAGGACACAAGGAAGATGTTTGAAGAATGTCAGTAACCGAACAGTTAACTGGACCCATTGACTTCCATATTAGAAAAAAATAAAAAGACTATGGAAGAACATTCTTCAAAATATCTTCCTTGTGTTCAGCAGAAGAAAGAAATTCATACAGGTTTAAAACAACTTGAGGGTGAGTAAATGATGACAGAATTTTCATTTTGAAGTGAACTATCCTTTTAAGGTGTTTTACTAACTACTATTTACAAGCTGAGGTCATATTTTGTTTAATACATGAATACAGAAGTTCTTGATTGTTTATACTGTCCAGCTCATTCCCACTATTTGGATATGGCATGTGAATTGTTAAAAAAATAGCAAGTGCCAGTTAACTTGATATTAAAATGTTTTAATATTATGTATGTACACACAGTAAAATATACTGTGAAGGTGTTCTTCTAACCTGCACTTTATAAGTTGAGGTCATGCTTTTTTTTAATGCATGAATAGATGTTATTGATTGTTAACACTATCCAGCTCATTTTGAATTTGGTTTGTAAATTGTTACTTAATTTTGTAACATTATGTACAGAACTGTACTGTAAAGGTGTTCCACTAACCTGCACTTTATTTGCTGAGGGCATGTTTTCTTGAATGCCTGAATACCAATGTTTATACTGTCCAGCTCATTGCTACTGTTTTGGATATGGCAATGATTTAATAAATGTTGGAAATTGACATAGTAGCAACTATTTATTTGAAGCTATTTACACTTTCAAAACAAAGAGGGTAAATTGATCAAAATTAATAAATCAGAACATTATCTACTTATTTTTTTCATTTAAGTTACCTATTTTAATTAAGTTTAATGTGTATAAAATGATGATATTTTCTACATTGATAGTACTCAATTTATTGGCTTTTTCTGAAAATGCTACTTAATATTTTTGCATACATTGAAATTCACATTATTAAGTTGTCTTTACTCAAAATATCAGTTAGTTCACTAAACTTGAAAAAAATAGTTGGAAAATGTTGTCTTAATTTTATTGAGTTAGATCCAAGTAACAGTTTTAACAGTGTAGACTTCAAGGTCTGTCTCTACTCGGTAGAGCTCTCCAAGCAGACCCACACCATCGTGTGGTGTAGGCACTTTTTGAAGCACTCAAATCTTTAGACTTTGTTTCTCAGTCTTTGGCTGAAAAACTAATGTGCGGTGTGCTTTAACATTGAAAAATTTAACCAAGCTCTCTTGTATAAAGATGAACTGATCCTTACTCAAACAAGAATCCTGACAATCTAAAATCTTCCACTGCCCATTCAAACTGAGGCGCCAGAGCCTTTTGGTCCAGAAAATCGGCCATTGTTGTTGGGGGAGTCTTCTTTCTAGGAGCCATACTCATTGCAACAGGATCTATAATTATACATTGTTTTGGAGTCATTACTCCCAATTGATTACCTGTGGTGTCCATGATTGTGATGCAGCAAAGATGGCGCTGTTGTTCTGCACGAAGATAGCTCTGTCCGATGCGGCTTCACCCAAAAATTTGTTCAGTCACCCCGTTCTGCGCTCTCGGCCAGATGTGTACCAAGTCAAAAAAAATACCCCGCTATATAAACACAACTGACTGCCAAAGCCACTCCCAAACCTCAACCACCACTTTTAGAGGATAAGATCGGACATGCCCAAATACAAAGCCCCTTTTCACACCCCTCTTCACCTTTTGTTGTTCAACCTCACTATGACCCCCAACTTTTTTTTTGTTTTTAAATACAATAATTAAAATCAAGGTAGTTGGTTCCTTAAACAGCATTTGCAGGAAACATTCAGGACTACTACATTCTTGCAGGCATGTGAAAAAATCCTGCGATACGCAGGCATCAATTTATACTTGAATATTTCCCTATTGACACAAATAATTGTGGTCAATGTGCACATTTTAGAAAACCTAGAGAGAAAGACGAGCACATGATTTCTAAACTCTCACATAATACAATAATACAATTTTTAAGACACTCCCTTCACTCATAGTGTAAGAACAACACATAGCAATCAGAAGATTTAATTCAATTTATGTAAATTTCAAAAATATAAAACATTTTCAGTGACCTTCCAAATATAAACTAAATCTTATTGGGCAGAATAAAAGTGATAAAACAATCTTTTAGCATCTGTTATAATTTACATAAAATAATTAGGTTAAAAACAGACTCTTAATCCATTTGCTATTTGTTGGATAAAAACATTACATGTCTAGGGAGATCCTTAATTAATTTCTGACATGATTATCTGATAACCATTAGCTGAATCTGGTTTTAAACCGTACATGAAATCACATCTCATTTAAATGAAGCAAGTAAATGAGTCTCACTGATCAGGGCAGGCAAGGCACCACATACCATACAAATTTCAAGTAATTTAAGAGGGGGCAATAATTAGGGGCAGCTTAAACATAAACATGCATGGAAATATATATTTTTAAAGAAAACCCCCACATAGAATTAGCATTAACAATAAAATTTCCACAGAGTTAATGTATAAAAACATTTTGTGTTCAGGTAGACTAAAAATGTTATGAAATCTGAAAATGGATTTCTACGGAAGAGAAAAAAAAATTGGAAGCCTTATCTCATAATTACGAGAAAAGATGTCATAATTACGAGATAAGATCTCGAAATTATGAGATCCGGATCTCGTAATTACTAGATAATGGTAAAGTTGGAAATAGCCTATATTTACAGATTCAAGCTTCCGGGATCAATAACTCATAAGCAAAGTGACGCCTCTTTATTATCGTAGTTAAGTAGACAACAAGCAACAAGTACATTGTCACATAAATGAGTCTTCCTCGGAGCTGCATAAATAACATTGGTTTCTATGTGCAGCCAGCTGTGAGAAGTGCGCAGGGACCGTCTACAAAGTGCACATTTTATCACATCTGCAGAATTAACACATTCTGCAGAGATATTCAATAACTTCACACTTATACAATATAGTGCCCCCCAAACCACCTTACACATTAATGATATACTGCTGGTTATACTACAACACTTAATTTAGGGTAAAAAAGACTTTTGCATACCCATATTTTTAATATTCAATAACTTCACTGTTAAAGGCTGTAGAGTCTCAAAAATCACCCCACAAATCATTGATATCCTGCTTGTGATACTACACACTTAGTTTATAGAAATATAGTTTTGCATGATTTGGGAATTTTAATATTCAATAACTTCACTGGTACTGCTAAGGGGTGGTGATGGGGCAGTGGATAAGACAAATGCCTTTGATGTGAGAGACCCAGGTTCAAACCCCTAGTTGCTCCAGAGGCGTGCGACCTCTGACATATATAGCGATTGTAAGTCGCTTTGGATAAAAGTGTGTGCTAAATGAATAACTTTCATGTTATAAGCAGTAGTGTCTCCAAAATCACTTCAATCATCAGTGGTCTTCTATTGATGATACTACAACACTTAGTTTGAAAAACTTTTCTTTGAGGTAATTTTGGGGGATTTTAATAATATGACTTCACTGTTATACAGATACCCAGCTAGACATTTTACTTTCCTAGAACATTTTGATAACTTTCCTGCTGGTGTCAAGGACATTGCCTTATAATGTTCCCAGATTGTTCCCAAACAGACACGATGTAAAGTTCTTTAAAGTGTTGGGGGATGTTATTTGGCAGACCTTCAGGGGAAGTTGTCCGTCTGCCTTATTGGTGGCACCTGTTCTCAACATGAGACCATTGATGATTGTAGTATCACAAGCATTAGATCACTGACATGTAGGGTGATTTTGGAGACAATACAGCTTATAATAGTAAAGTTACTGAAGATAGAAATTCTCCAAAATTATGCAAAACTATATTTCTACAAGTGTTGAAGTATCACAACCAGGATATCAATGATTTGTGGGGTGGTTTTTGAGACACTAAAACTCTTAAAAGTGAAGTTAAACAATATTTCTACAAATTAATTGTTGTAATATCATCAACATGAGATCACTGATACCTGGGGTGATTTTTGAGACTCTACAGCCTTTAACATTGTAGTTATTGAATATTAAAAATCGACCTACCTAATATTAGGTATGCAAAAGTCTTTTTCCCCCCAAACTAAGTGTTGTAGTAAAACCAGCAGTATATCATTAATGTGTAAGGTGATTTTGGGGGCACTATATTGTATAAGTGTGAAGTTATTGAATATCTCTGCAGAATGTGTTTTCGGTGTTGCACTTTGTAGACGGTCCCTGCGCACTCGTCTCACAGCCGGCTGCACGTAGAGACCAATGTTATTTGTGCCGATCCTAGGAAGACTCATTTATGTGAAAATGTACTTGTAGCTTGTTGTCTACTTAACTACGATAGTAAAGAGGCGTCGTTTGTGTTTTTAACACGTTTTGCTTACGAGTTATTGATCCTGGAAGCTCGAATCTGTGAATATATTTCCAACTTTACTGAACTCAGTAATAAATGGCACCTTTCTAGTCATCTCTAATTACGAGATCTTTTCTCATAATTACGACATCTTTTCTCATAATTACGACATCAGGATCTCGTAATTATGAGATAAGGCTTCCAATTTTTTTTTCTTTAGTGAATGCAATGTGCTTCCGTAGATTTCACCACAACATTTACTTCTTTTCCTTGAGGTCAGCAATTAGATATGGCTCATTTCTCTCAAGGATTTCATATAAGATGTTTTTGCAGGCTTCACCACCTTTCAGGCAACATAGGTAGATTTCTCTCATCTTCGCCTGAGAGGTAGGCAGAGCCCTGATTGTTTCATAAATCTCTGGTTGGAGGACATTTTTGTCGAATAGCTCATCCAGAATGGGTGCAATGTTGCTCACTCTCTGAAACAACTCCACTTTATGTTTCTCCACAAACTGTAAAGAGGCTGAGGAAAGAGGATAAAATTACTACAGTGACTAACTGGATTTGTAGATAACATGAAGCTGATATAACATTTCTTTTGAAAACTAGGGATGCACCAAATGTTCGGCCACCGAAATTAATTGGCGTAATAAGTCAAAAGACCGAATAAATATTACCGAACAATTATGTTGCTAATCGGCAGTGTGGAAGCATTTTAAAGTGTAAAGTCTCCTAGAAAGACCTAAAAATCTCTGTTTGCAGACACGGTTCTGCTGAATTGTCTCCTAGCACATCCACTCCATCTGTGGCTGACTTTTTAGGAAAGGTAACAAACGGTCTGACTCACTTTGAGTGTATCAGTCACTCGTTTCTGAGAAGGCGATTAAGCTAGCCGCACCTAAATTTGGAGTGCACACGTATTCAAGCCTTTATGGTAAGTGAAACGGACCAGTGCGAGCTGACAGACAGGTGAGCGACTTTATCCTGTCATTTTCTCTCTTTACAAAGACAAGTGTTTCAGTATGAGTGTCCTACCTGAAGAGAGGCTATGAAGTCTGTATGTTACACCATACGAGAACCACCTACAATGTTGTTTATCAAATTGGGTCGGACTTAGCGCGAGGATACACATGACAACGTCCGTTTTTCAATATAAGATGTTTATACTGTATGGAAATAAGATTAGGCTAATTGGATTATATTCACAAAAGTATAAAACATTTTACATGTGTACATTAAAAGTAAATGGACACATGTAATTTACTTTACCGCACCCACCCACCATAGTCTCTCCAAATCATGTGGGAAACACTGGGTAAAAAGCACATTTTGACTATTTAATTTATGCAATGGTAAAAAAAGGCCAAATAAATGAAACAATGTAAATGTACTTGTTCGGTGATTTTTTTAATTATATTCGGTTTCAGCTTCAGCCAAGAATTTTCATTTTAGTGCATCCCTGTTGAAAACAGTTTCATAACAAGATTCTATATATCTTTTACTCACTATATTCAAAAAATAGATGACTGAGATTCATCAAATGTTAAAAACACAGACAACACAATCCTTGGATTTTTCTGAGAAAAGGACTTAAGATTCTCTAACAGTGATTTCTATGTGCATTAAAATCCACAGAAGCATTTAAACTGCATGTGGGTCCCAGGACAAGTACTTACTGTTGTTACAGTTGCTAATGAAGATTAAATAAAACACAAACATGACTCATACAACAGTGTTTTAGAGGAAAATTGACGCATCAGGTATTAATTTTGATGTTTTTGAAAAGAATTTAACATTTTCATATAGTGGATTTATAACTTTAGAATTAATCTGAAAGACTAAGGTCTACATTTTACAGTTATGACGCATTCTCCAAATGCCATTTAAAGCTCTGACAATTTGGGAAACACACTGGCTTTCTTGAGCTGAACTGAGATGACAAGATTGATACTAGATCAGTACACTAAAAATTAAGCTAGGAGACAGAAAACATGGGGGAACAGTTGGCCTGTCCAAATTTTCAAGTTTTTGAAGGGATTAAACAAACAAGATAATGTGTAAATTAGTGAGCTTTAGAGGTGGCGGTAGAATTAAAATTTGGACAGAGCCAGGCTAGCCGATTCCCTTGCTTCCAGACTTTATGATAACCATCTCCTGGCTCTAGCTCTATTTTTAACGCACAGACATGAGTGGTATCGATCTTCTCATCTAAAGGTAAAAACACAAAAAGGCATATTTTCTCAAAATGTCAAACTAATAATTTAAATCCAACACACCTACAGCGCTTATCAGTGGCCACTGTTTCTTTCACTACTCTGGAGCCTGTAGTCTGTAGAACAGGTTAGGCCTGTTCTTAATAGAGTACATGGCATTTACAGAGAAGACATCAACTACTGTCTGCCATGGTATTTACACTAGTTGCTCCAGCTGAGGGTCTTGCTGCTGAAATCAATTTAGTATATTGGTCTCAAGACTAGTGTTTATGCATAGATTGTGTTTCCATACACATGGCAAAAAAAAGGCTTTCTTTCATGGTAAAAAATTAAAAGTTAATGATGATGTTAAATTTTTTTCTTATTATCATTGAAATGACTAAAATGAACATTTCTTTCATTTATACTGCAATTATGTTTTGTTACTACTATTTCTTCAATATCTAAAGACGTTCTTGCGCTGCTTTAATATTTTGATGAGCCTAAGACTCTCTGTCAAAGTTGTATTCTATTCTAGTCTTGTATTGTACTGTAGATAGATAACCTATTGTTGATGTACTTGTCTGACGGCTTAACGTTTACATCGTACAACTTTGAAGGATAAAGCTTAAAGTTAAATAAAAAAAACAATGCAACTCATCTACAATGGAAAATCTGTAAAAAAAAATCTGTAATCTGGTTTAAAAAAGAAAACTAAGAAAACAACTCACTGTCACTGGGACCAGGTTGTGAGGGTGGTGGGGTTTCTTCACGTACATCATCCTCTGCAAAAATAGGAAGAAAAAAAAAAAGGATAATTATGATGTAATAATAATTTGAGATACAGGATTAATGTGGGACACATTAACTCTGGACTAACATTCATCCCTCCCAAATGAACCACTGAGTGTCAAACACATGGTCTCTTGGTGACTTGGTAATGTGTGTAATATTATCTGTATTAATATTCTTCTTCAATATTCTCTGCTTCAATAGGCCTACTCTGGTTACTCTGTCCCAATACTGTAGTTTTTAAGATTGTATCCATTCCATATCAGCTCTACCAGTTCGCTACTCATTATTATTATTGGTATTTAATTCACTATTACTATTACGCTATTAATCTGCAAATAATCGTTGAATGCATGAACACATATGCACAGGTTTGAACGCCTGTAATACAGACTGGCAATTCCTACTGCAGAGCAGAGCAGAAATGTGGTCGCCATACGTGCTTGAAAGTGAAAGTAAAAAAAAAGCAGGAAAGGTAAAATGTTTCAGTTTGATGTTCAACTTCATCAATAGGCCTATACAAAAAATAGCCATTTCGATGAAATGCTGACAATTAGCCTATTGCTAATTTGCATGCAAGCGGACATAAATAGTTTAATGTTCTGCATCAAACAAGTAGGCTAGCTGTAAGATATTTACCGAGTGAGTCTGCTTCACAGTGGCAATCAATCTGTTTCAACAGCTCGGTGGTAACGGTGACAGCTCTGCGTTCAGTAAAAGTGGAAACCAGGATGTCTGCGATGTCTAAAAAGCTTTTACCCTCCACCTTATTTCTTCTGACCCGGGGTTCTTCTCTGCGGTCCAAGAGCTGGCGGCAGAACTTATCAAAGTTATCTTTTGATAAGTCCTCCAGCGCGTCTGCTATTGCCTTTCTTATGGTTTTGGGGGCCATTTCTCACCCAGAGATCCCAAACTGACCGTCCTAGTAATCAAAAGTCTTTCTTCTAGACCAGCTCTCCGAAGAAAACGCCCAGAGCTCACTTCTTCTAAACCTGGTTTAAAAAGGAAGAAAAATATGGTGCATTCAAATGCTGTGGGAAATGATACAATTCATACTGTGGCTGGACCTACATTTTCCCCAGTCCCCATTGGTTAGTGTGCATTCAGGTTAAAGTCCCCTCCGGAATATAAAAACATGCAACACACACACGCACGCACACACGCACGCACACACACAAATATACACATCGTACACTTATCAGCCACAACATTATGACCACCTGGTGGGCTCCCAGCTAAAGACCCGTGAAGGAATGGATTCCACTATGACTCGTGCGTTCTGACACCTTTCTATCAGAAAACCTTTTCAACACAGTTCACAGCTTTTCCTTCTTCGGACCACTTTTAATAGGTTTTGACCACTCCAGACCTTAGGTTCTTTGACCCAGTGGTGTAGTCTACTTTTTTGTAGTGAGTATACTGTGCCTCATACCCGTCCCAGAGTGCATCCCATAAGCACCACTACGCTCACTATGTAATAGAGAGCATTCTGATGGACTGCTTAGGCTATGTGTTATCAACACTGCAAAGACTTTAACAGCCAATGACAGTTACAGGTGGGCAGGGCGTCACTTTGTGTTGAAAAGTGGTGGGGACATTTTAGGGCTCAGATAAGAGTTTACACTTAGCAATCAAGACGCGGCAATCCAGAATATTGGGGTCACGAAAACAAGACTTTAAGATATTTTACTATTTTAATAAATATTCCTTGATGAAATGTACGATCGGGGGATCTGGGAGTCCTCCCCTGTAAAAGCATTTGAGCATTAAACACTTAATTTTCTGTATTCTGGAGACATTATTGCACCAATTTATGATGGAAATGTCTTTTTTTTCTACAAAGGTGAACAAAGTTCAGGTGGCAGGTGTTCAGAATATAATTATATAATGCAGTAATCAGTTAATTGTTGTTTTTTTTTACTTAAGTAATTGTTTTTTGTACAATGCAGATCTGTTTCTTTTCTATATTTACATTGTGTTGCACGTTTTCTTATTGTGCCAAAAAAAAACCTCTCATAGCACTCACATTTATTTAACATTTCTTGTTTTGTTTCAGAACATTTATAACAAATGCTTTCAAAAATGTCTCCAGTGTCCCCAGTTTAAATGACACCTGCAGGTGGGGAGAATAGACTAATTTTCTAAAGTTTAGTATTACTCAGTTAGGAGCTACATTTAACCTTAGATGTTATATGAATCTGGTTTTATCAGCTTGCAATTTTCAATGCACATTTATGTAACTTGCAACTATTATTCTAATTAAACTCATTCATTACAGAATATTATGAACAGTGAGGACCCAAAAAGTGGTCCACATCATCTCAAGCACATCTTCCAAAACCATTGTCAAACTTAATTAGCTACTGTATCAGCTTAAATGCATGAGCAAGCTTCCAGGAACTGCTACTTCTACTACTGCGAATAAATTAAGATGAACATCAAAATAAGTGGGTTTATAGTTTGACAAACAGGACAATATAATATAGCATAATATACAGTTTGTAACTCACTAGCAACTGGAGCAGGAACGCTTTCCTGAGAATCCTCCGGTTTTTAAGATTTCTTCAGTTTAAAATTAATTCACTGATAGTGGTCAGTACATCCAATGGTACACAGCAAACATGAGCTATTATTAGTTAATTCGGCGAGCTTGTATATTAACCAATCATACATGGATTAAAAGGTTCGGGTAATTTTCTTTTCGTTCAGCCTCTCTAGGCTACGCTGTTTCAACCTGACCTTTATTTTCCACTGGCAACACAACCCATTGGTCTACCACCGGAGAGGGAGCGGGCCGGGCGAGAGAGAGGAGGTCGCGGGGATCACTCTGGCTGGACGAAGCCTGGCGCTACTGATTTACGCATGATCCATGATTATAGGCTACAGAAAATGAATGGCAAAAATAGCATATTGTTGATATTTTAGAGACCCCCCAAAATATTACAAATCATGTTTTCAGGGGAGCTCATGTCTTAATAAGAGGAGTAAAGCTCCCCGTAGTTCACACCCTGGCTGTAGCCTCGAGAAAAAGCCTTGATAAGCATATTCGGGCCCTGTAATTGGGCATAATCAAACCCTGTAATTGGGTATTTTCTTAGATCGCTCAGGTAACCAGCTGCTTCAGATCAGCCCAAAACAAAATGCTTCTTTGATGCTGATGTACTTAATCTAGAAATGGGAGGCTTTTGAGTGCTTGAGTGGCTCCTCCAGCTTGACGCGATCTTGCAAAACAAGTAGCCTACATTCTCATATTTCTTTTTTCTTATGTGGCTATAATGGGCCTATAGTGCTCACTGCTACAATCATGTAATATTGACTTTGTTTCACACTGTACACGCAAAACGTTCTCCTGGTTCAAAGTCCGTTTTCTGGCCCTCCATTCACCCCAACCACGATCTTACTTTGTCTTTTCTATAAATATCATATAGGCCTAACAGCCTTTACCGTCACAAACTGACGCTACAGGGATCCCCAGTGCATTACAGACAGACATGATAGGCCTTGACGATGCCATAAGTCACGAGTCGGGGAGTGAGAAGCGGTTGTAGGGATACAACAACGGTCAAAGATCAAACAAAACGCAGCTCCTTTGTTCTCAGCTGTGGGTTTACATAAAAAACATAGGCTAGGCTATCTCTGTTTTTTGATTTTCCGTTTTTTCCGATATGGTTTTGAAACGAAATAATGAAAGAACGAACCATACATGGATTGGAGAAGTGCTGGAAAGGCAACGGTCCTCCCAGCAGGGAGATGAGGAGAAAGCATAGGGAGCAAGAGAAAGCCAACTTCTTCTTCGAGTTTTAATGGGGGTTGGCATCCAGAAAAGTTGCATTACATTACGTTTCCCAGTGCAACAAATGTGTCCACCCAAGTATTCCCATTCAAAACCTTGTCCATTATATAGGCTAATCCAGACTCAATAGTCTGATATGGTGCAAATCCTTCCATCACTCTAATGTCCATCTCTTCTCCCGATATGTCAACAATGTCTAGGAATCGGTTTGCAGCATCCAATTCCATCTTAATCCTCTCCGATTGACTCTTTATTTCAACAGCACAATTTACTACCATGGCAGTGATTGCCAAAAATCGTTTCGTAGCCATGCAGGTATTCTGATCGCCTCTATTCCTTTTCGGCTCCTGCACCCTGTAGCGTAATATACAGTAGCCTATATAGTCCAAATAAATCCTTTCTGGCAATTCCCCCTCAAAGGCCAGACACACCTCCTCCTTCTCCCCTTGTCGTGTCAGTCTTCTTGCCTCACAAACATCTTCAATAGGCCTACTCCAAAATGATTTCAGTGGTCTTTTTACACACGTATAGGCTACTGTACTTTCATCCTCGGTGCATTATCTCTCTCCACCTTGACACACAATCAATGATAACCATACCACTTCTTGTTATCGTGATCGACCGATGAAAGTTTCCCACCTTGTGTAAATATATGAAGATCCCTGGCCTACAACCTGGCCAAGATAGATCAGTCTTACTTCTAGCAAACCTCGGCTCGGTTCAATAAAACTGCTCTTTTTAAGGGGGCGCTGCTGAGGGTTCAATTGTGTGCAGACTTGACAAATAAACATCAATTTGTCCAAACCATTTTCGTTTACTTTTGGCGTCATACACCCATCATGCACCTGTAACTCTTTGAGGTTGGAATTTTCAACTGGGAAAGTTCCCAGGTGTCTCAAACGCAGCATTAGGTCTCATGAGGCGGAAGTGAAGGCACGGACTTTTTAGGCGCGTAATTTAACCTGGATCTATACGTGCTGAGCCCCACTGAGTAGCCTACTAAGCAGACTATGGTACTCAGCCACCACTATTACCATAAACCTGTAATCGTCTGTAATCCGATGAGAAATAATGGACCCGACAATCAAACTGGCTATAGTGCATGTGCTGGAGGATCTGAGTGAGATAAATTTTCAGAAGTTTTGTCACCAGCTGAGAGAGACCGCAGAGAAGAGCCGCGGGTTAGACTTAGAGCCGTGGAGGGTAAAACTGTATGCCAGATCGCAGACCTCCTGGTTTCAACCTTCACCAAGATTAAAGCCCCTGAAGTGGCTGTGGAGATATTGAAGCAGATTAACTGCCACGAGGAGGCAGAGACACTGTGTGAGTGAACACTGATGAAAATATCCGATAGAAACGTTTAGGATTCAAGTGTAATTTAGCTGTGGTCGAAAACGCCAACAATTAATCCACCTTTGGATTAGACATTGTCTGCCCTTTTTATGTATTATCTGCAGCCTGTTTTCCTGGTCTACTGTGAAGACCCTGTTATTTGGCTGTAAGTAGACCTATCCGGTCTAGCCTGCAGCCTGGTGGACTCTGCCCCTCTAGATAAGATATATAATAAACATGGTAATATATAAAACTTCAGGATGTGTTAAAGTAGCCTTCTCACTAATCTTTCATGTGTTCATGACCATGGCACATGAAACAGTAAACACAACTCGTCATTCAAAAAAAATAATATAAAAGATCGCTTGAGTGAATTTTCTTTCCGTGACTGAAAACAGCTTCTTTCGTTTTTCGCTTTCTCCGTGAAAGCGTGACGTATCCACCTGATTTTTCCCGGTATTGTGGACTGTATGTGCTGAGGTAGTTTGGCATATCAGACTTGTACGGAAAAATCGCTGTGTTTCATTCGTCCCGCTTTTCAATCGTCCCGGCTCTCCCCCTGCTTTACGGTTTAGTTACTTTACACTTTAAATTATATTGGTATGGTAGGTCAACACAGACTACTGGCGAACTAGGCCTACTGTAGATGCGAAGTTATGGAGTAACGTTAACTATTTGATCTTACAAAGACCTTATAGCCTACTGCAGTTTTTTAAAATTATCATAGGGCGTGTAGGCCTATGACATAGCCTACAGAGAAATAGTCTGAACGTTTGGGAAGAACTTAGAGAAAGAATTTATAGCCTATCTATTTCACTACTGGGTACTTATCCTATAACTATTACAGGTTACAGTATAACCATAAACTGAGCTAAAATCTGGACATTTCAGGAAAGGAGGAGTCATAACTTCTGCATCATTTAATAACATTACATTTAGTCATTTAGGCTAAGTGATGCTTTTATCCAAAGCGACTTACAATTGCTATAATTACATGTCAGAGGTCACACCACTCTGGATCAACTAGAGGTTAAGTGTCTTGCTCAGGGACATGCTCAGTGGATGTGTCACAGTGAGAATTGAACGTTTATGTGATTTTATTTTATTTATTTACTTATTACCAACAAACAGCCAACTGCATTGTTCCTTTCTAATTTTGGAGTGCTTAACCCTCGTATTGTGTTTGAAAAGGGTTTACACTGTTCGCAAGTCAAATTTGACTTGGTTAAAATGTATTACCAAACACTAAAAATGTTTAATCTGCTTAGTAACTTATTATTCATTCATAACCATAATAGCCTATATTAATAATAATAATAATAACACATATTTTGGACCAATAACACTGTCAAAATTGACCACATATGGCTACATATCTATGAAAATATATAATTACTTATCAGTAAGTATCATTTGTGTGTGTGTGTGAGAGAGAGAGAGTGTGAGCGTGTATTACTTCCTGTGTATTACTCACCTTCTTCATAGGAAGTCCTCATAGCATAAATCATTACATTTTAGAGTGTAGACTTGGTTAAAGGTTAGGGGAAAGTTAGGTTTTTGTTGAAGGGATAGGAGGCTAAGCGATTCTGCAGAAAGATATGATTATTTATTTGAACTACACTTCCAAACACCCCCCTCTTCAGTGGTCCCTCAGCAGCTTTGCCCCAAAATTAATGGACGTGCATTGCCAAGGTGACCAGTAGCCTACTACGTAATATGGCAGAATCTATATATATATGCATATATAGAACTTACTCTGTAACTGCAGAGAACAGACCTTGGGATATCGACTACATCCCTCCTCCCCCACATACAGCTCTTATTATTCATTCATTAGGGGTTATTGTTTGTGGAATTTTGAGGAAAATAATGAATTTCATCTATTTTGGAATAAGGCTGTAACATAACAAAATATAAAAAAATAAAATAAAGAGCTGTAAATACTTTACGGATGCATTTTAAATTAAACATACAGTATTTACTTTATGTGTTGTTGAATCCTGCCTTGTGTTTCATCTCGCTATTTTTTTTATTTATTTCCTGGGATAAAAGGAGGCTGTGCTGAAAAAAGGTAAGTTTGCATGTTGATGAGCTGTAATGCTTTTGCCAGGGAGAAGACTTTAAACATTTTAAAACCTACAAAATTTTCAACAATGTGGTTACACTGGAACAGAGTAGAGTAGAGTAGAGAGTGGTCGACAGTAGAAGTAAGCACACAGCTGTGGCCATAGATATTTTAAGTGCTCTAAAATGATAAAGGAACAATGTCGTTTAAAAGTCTAAAAAAGTCAATACTGCAGGGCATTAATGTTCATACTGGTGGAGTGTATAATGTTCCACTGTGTCTTATATTAGCCTTTGACCATACTGTTATCTTATTCTACAGATTCAAAAACCAAAGCCTGTGTGGATGTAAGTTTAACTTTACACAATGAAATTCAAATATTCACATTGACATGTGGCTGGTCGTTAAAAATTATACTTGCAGTGGTGTGTTTATTCTTGTTCCTTAGAGAGGTGACCCTATCTTCCCCAAGACCTCGACTGGAGAGTTGGAAACAAATCCCTCAGAGGAGGCTCTGAAACAAGCAGCCGGCCAGCGGATCTTACGAGCTACTCGAAGTGGTGTGAAGAAGCCAGAAGAAGTGAAGGCTGAAGCGAAGGCCCGCGTCATATCTGAGGGAGGGGACCCTTCCAATGATTGGCTCGTACTGAGCAGGTTTATGATTCAGTTTGGCCAGTACAAAGGTCAAACCTTCAAATGGCTGTTGGAGAATGATGTGGGGTACACTGCTTACATAGTGGCTGGCCACCAAAAGCAGCGAGAGCCCACTATGTATCAGAGCCCACTGATGGCTAACCAGGTACTGCAATGCAGAGGCTGCCTGCATGCTGAAATTTGCAAGTTTCCAAAAGTTTTTAATAAACGTTATTTTTAGATTGTTTGTTTATTTGTATTTACCTTAAATTTCCCCTTGTGGGACAAATGAACTGTTTTGAATTTAATTGAATTAAATATGAACAGGTGCAAAGAGTAAACAATTCTTTTCATTGAAGGATTCCTTGACTCAGTACGCGTCTGCTTACTGTGAGCTTAAAAAAGAGGTCAGATTTCATCGTGGGTACAACAGATCTCTCCAGTCAGGCCAAGAAGGAAAGGCCCTGGTTGGCTTTGGTCTTCACCAATTTGGACACGCTGCAGGATCTGTACGAATCGAAGGACCCAAAAAAAAATTAGGTATAACAGAATGCATTTGTGAATTGCAGTGGATTTAGGCGTAGGTACACTAGCAGACATTAAAGGCCACCACTCTATCCTTTGTACATAGCTATGTCAGTTTCCTCCGGACCAAGAAGTCAACCTGCGATCCAGGGTCCAAAATGGAGGACGCCATCAGGTACATTTTGAAGCGTGACCAAAGGCGGGGTGCAGCTGCCACCAGGAGGCCAACCCCCAGCTTTGCCCCTAGAGCAGCCAGAAAACACACTAGAGGCCAGCCTACCACTGCCTCAAGGTATGGGTTGTGTATTGAAAAAGTTAACTTGTACTGACTAGTAACGCTGTATGTAGTGCAAGACCTGTGCTGTTGAAGACCTCTGTGTCCTTCACATGTTTACTGCAGGCTCGCTAAAGATTTGATATTTGCTTTGATATTTTATACATTTACAAAAAAAAAGCTGACTGGTACCTTGATGCATCTCACCACCAGACATTAAATACTTACATACATACTTTTAAACTTAACATTACAACACATATAACCGTAGATATACAGCATATCCATCTCCTCAAGGATTAGGTAAATATAACTGTAGTTTACTCCACAACATTTCTTATTTATTTCATTCTCTGGCATTTTGATTAATCAAAGAGCCCATGTATCCCTGTGTTGCCTATAGACTATAGAAAGAATATATAGCTTTATAGCATCTTATAAAGTTTGCAATTACTGAACTCATTGTGTAAGTTAGAGTGCCCATTTAACAGTGTCATTTGTAGATAATTTGGTGATGCATTAATGTTTCCTCTGCCTCCCCTCCAGACCCATAGTGAGGAAGCAGAAAAGGAGCTTGACAGGGAAATCATTCCGCCCTCGATAAAGACAAAAACCTTCTTTCTCTTTGGAATACAGTGGCCTGTCCTCCTGTGGCACCCATGGAAAAATAATGAAGGTGCTAAAAGTTTGTACACATTTTCCCAATTATCAATAAAAAACATGGATTAAGAGGTTTTTCAGTAGTAGTTTCTGTCATAGTTTCTCCTTATCCAAATCAAGGGTCTAAGAATAGAGGCTGTCATACACTCTACTGGTTGTGTAACCCCTTGAGGTAAATTTGTGATTTTGTGCTATATCATTAAAATTGACCTCACTTGACTAATACATTATTTATCAACAATAATATACCCCTTTAAATACAACTCTTATAATGTAAATGATGCCTAATAATAATAAAAATATACACTAATAATAACACTCATACAGCTATTTGTTGACAGAGCATTTTCTACGGGCATATGCAAAGGCCTCTTCCTAGGAAAGAATATGTAAAAAATGCATAAACAGGTAAAACAAATGAATGTGTTAGCATCTAAATATAGTCTGCAGTTAAATATGACGAGATCAACCATGTCTCAATGGGTTAAATGCTCTCTAGTTGAACTTTAATTTACAACCTCTGATTTAAACACATTCTAGCACCACTTGCAATTAGGCTTAACAGTTAACACACTATTGACACATTCATACCCAAGTACCCAAATTAATGCCGATAATAAATCTTTGAGGCAAAATATCACAATAAAAGGTCAATTTATGTAGACAAATGTATTGTGGAAATATACAGTATGCCCACATATCTATTATTTCAAATCCCTGCCAGGACTAATACTGATAAATTCTTATGTTCTGCTTTTGAAACTGTCTGAAGTGACTGAGGTTATTCACGTATTAAAGATGGTGAGTCACAGAGGAAAAGTAACCCAAGAAAGTTTATTAAGATGACAAAATATAAAACACTGACTCCCTTAGTCTTTCATCTTGGGTTCAGCAGCTAATCCCCTTTTTGCTGGGCAGTTCATTTGAGATGATGGATGCAACAATTTTCACATCCTGAATGACAGCACACGTGTCGAGTGTTTCCCTGAGGAGAAAGAGAGCAACATTGATGAACTCATTAATGAATAATCTTGGAGTTGATGGTTTACGTCTTTTATCCGGATTTATTGCTCTTTGAATGGTTATGCAGCAATTTTCTTCATCTAAAATGTTGTTTTGTGAAACATATTGAAGATATGAATACTGATAATTTAACCCTTGGAACTGAAACAAAAAATTTTGAGGTATTACATGCTGCATCTTTTCCTGTGAATCCCTTGTTCTTGTTCAGGGGATTTAAATTCAGCAGGGAAGTGGTGGACCCCACCATAAACAAGCAAAATTGCTATACAGGTAAGCTATATAAGTACTGAATGTTTATACATAAAATGGCTGTTGCAGAAATAAAATTGTATCAAAAGTGGTTTTGACTAGTATAGCTTTAATGTGACAAAATGAACAATGAACAATGAACTGACTATGAAATAGATACCATTAAAAACAAAATAATAGCCAACATCCGGCCTCCAGGCACTAAAATATATTCTCAGAAGGTGCATTTCTATCAATGTGTACCTTTTCCCACCATGATGGCTCCTGCTGATGGTCTTGCAGCTGTAAAACATTTAAGAAAACTTTTATTTGCATAACAGCTGTACTCTTTACATGTTGACATCTTCATAGCATGCAGGAAAAAAAAACAATACTTGGTAGGTCAACTCACTGTCAGGAGATGTCTAACATTCTCCAGCTGTCTCTTTGACTGTAAAAACAGAAACACATAGGTTGAATAGCACTGACACATTTTCTACATAGACATAGCGTACAGTTTCCACTTTAGTAGCTAAAACATTAGTTTGGGCCTCAAACAGGGTGTTGGAGTGTGGGTTAATTTTACAACTGAAAAGATTAGGCATGTTGGGTTGAAATAATTGTGATTTCTGTGTAACTGATATCTAACAATAATTTGTCTTAATGATTGTCAAAGAATTATGTGTATTTTGATGATGTACAGTATGTATATTGCTGTTGCTACTGTTTCAGTCTTTATGTGTTTAAATGAAAATAACCTACAATGTTTCAGGTGAATGGATGATGGTACTAACATGTTTCTCCAATAGAAAAGGTAGGGTATATGCTATATAAGAAGCCTAGTCAACTATATGTTTGAGGTAAATTTGAAAGTGTTACACACATTAGGTTTGTGCACTTGAGAGCACTTTTAAGTTAATTTTTGGTACCTTAATAGTTTGCTGTCCTCTATAGCATGTTATAGCCTAGGCCTTCTGTATGTATTCCAATGTCGAAATAAACCGCGGAAATTAAAGTAGCCTATACAGAAGGTGATCTCACCGAGTGT